GAGGATACAGATATTTTATGTGGAGTATGATGACCAAGCTGAAGCACGTGAAGCAAGCAGCAGCCGACTTGACATTCCCACTGAATAAGCTTTTCTTTACCCTTCAGGAGGAACAAAGTTTACGCTTCTTGAAAGCTTGACAAAGCATCCATCTCTGTCAACCATGGATCACATTTCCAAGTCCATTTCGTGTGGCAGGTGTGGGACGGTCAATTATCACCCGCTTTTAAATCTATAAGATGAAAGGCTTTTCGAGGGTGGAAATTCGACTGGGGCACGACAAAGCTCCATGCTAGGATTCTAAGGGGAAAGGGTGTGCAGAAGAAGAAACCAAACAAGTTCACTGTTGGAAGCTCAACAAGCGCAACTTTTGTCCTACCAGTGCGTCACGGCACAGGTGTAGCGTCGCAGAAAAGAGTATGGACCCAGTATGGACTTTTTCCAAAATCCTCAATGGAAAAGAGTTGCAAATGAGACACCATGGCAACAATGAAGAAGGTAAGGGTGCTGCACAGAAAAGCTTTGAAACCAGAGGATACAGATATTTTATGTGGAGTATGATGACCAAGCTGAAGCACGCGAAGCAAGCAGCAGCCGACTTGACAATTCCCACTGAATAAGCTTTTCTTTACCCTTCAGGAGGAACAAAGTTTATGCTTCTTGAAAGCTTGACAAAGCATCCATCTTGGTCAACCGTGGATCACATTTCCAAGTCCATTTCGTGTGGCAGGTGTGGGACGGTCAATTAGCACCCGCTTTTAAAACTATAAGATGAAAAGCTTTTGGAGGGTGGAATTCGACCGGGGTACGACGAAGCTCCATGCTAGGATTCTAAGGGGGAAGGGTGTGCAGAAGCAGAAACCAAACATGTTTACTATCGGAAGCTCAACAAGCGCAACTTTTGACCTACCAGTATATATATATATATTATACATATATGTTTAGTGAGTTTAGTGTATATATATATATATTATATTGTCATTACGAATGCCTGTGATACGAGTGCGATGCTGTTGATCCCTTGCAAGATGAACTGATGTCAGCACGACCTGGTTCAAGTGGCTTTCCCGCTTTCCAAATAGGATGCAAGGACAGCCCTCGCTGCAGCATGTGCCCGTTCTGTCTTCGATTCCTATCTTGGAGAAGGGCAGAGTTAGTTGCCTTGGAAAATACCAAAAACGATGTTGCGCGCACTTGTCAAAGAGGGGTGAAGGTGCCAAGTGTCAAACAAGGCTGTCCACGCCTCTGCTGCTTATAGGAATCATGGTGAATCTATGAAAGCCACAAGCAATAGCAGCGTTCCAAGAAGAAAAGCATGCATAGATAGGCATTAGCAGGCGGAATTTCATGTCAAGCGTGATGCCAGTTTGCAGATTGGGATGGTGGGATGCAATGACCTTGGGTCAAAGGTGTAAAGATGTGCAGCAACCTTGGGTGGAAAACCTTGGTGTCGGGGCACAAGGGTATTATGGATAAGCTGGAAGCCAGAAATATGTCCGGCCGTTCGGCCTTTGAAACCCTTGCTATAATATATGTTTTGCAACCATAGATCTCTGAACTCGAAGGTGGAGATTGCCGCCACAGGAACCCTTGGTGATCGGGTTGTTTCTGTTTTACGACTTCGGACGGAAAAGTACAGCAGGTTGCGTCGCAGACAAATATATAGCTGAACTTTGGAGCCAGCAGCGGGCAACAGCACATTGTTTTCTTACTGCAAATTAATCGCAAATCAAATTGAGAGTTGATTTAGGCAACCAAAGACATGACGCAGACAAGTGGATCCAAAGGCATGAGGCATGCGCGGTGTACTGAGTGCAATGGTGATTCCAGAGCAAACATGAGCAAACTCAGGGTTGTGCAAGCCAGGATAGTGAAACAGTAGCAGCGTAGCATCCGCTTCCATTGACATTGTGCAGGGAACAGCTGCACGCCACGGGCATGGAGGGTGTACGCTCGGTGTGCGCAGTGTACGCAGCCCAGGCACACTTGGGCGAGAAGACATGATCGCAGCCATCATGGAGAAGCTCAAAGAGGCCTATGGCTTCAAACCCATGGTGTTTTGCACGGCGCCCACGGTGCCCACGGTGCCCACAGTACCCACCGTGCCGTCAGGTCAAAGAGTTTTCGAAGCCAGAGCTGTGTGAACTCTTCCTCACATGCCAGGGCACATTTTGCGGTTTGGCAATAGAAGGTGCGCATATAGGTATACCTTCCATTACTTTCCCCACTGTTGCCCAGGTACCTGAGAAGGGGCTTGCAGATCACAAAGTTGTGCCACTTGTCTCAATAGCCTTGGGTGTCCACATTCGTTGGCTGATTGTGCGTTGATAATTTCAAAATATTTTAAGTTTATATAAATTGATGGCCATGTGAAAACATGTGAAACATGATTCGTTTGGTTCAACTGTGAGATTTGGCGGCACGTCCCTGGCGGCTTCCTTTGCACTTTCCTTGTGCAGCTGCTTCTGCTTTGCCAATGGCCCATGCTGAGTTTGCACAGCAAGACCACCGTGTTGCTGACTTATGCAGATTCAAAACATCTCAGCATGCTAGTCTTTCGAGTCTTTTCTTTCTTAGTAGATATATGTAGATGCGTGTTCCGTGGCAGTCATGTCATTTTGTGGTTTGTTGCCAGCATCATGACTTGCTTTCCCTTCACGATGAATGTCAACCCCGCATTGGGATCATTGGGGATGGGAAATTCCCCAATGACTTCGATCATTGTGTTTGGCAAGGCTAGTTGAATTCAAAGGGTTCTCGGTGTCCAACATGTTCTTGCACTGATGACTCAGACATTTGGTTTTTGGCAGCGCAAATTTTCTCAACAGGAAAGCCTGCTTGAAATATATATGCATGAAATTAAGGGTTGCTTTCCAATCTGAAGAATGGTCTTCTTGTGGTCTTCTTGTTGGATCACAAATTGTGTTTCGGAAGCCGTCAAGCAACGAATATGCGACAGCATTGCGACAGCCGCCTCCGTCCTCAGGTGTTGTTATGGACCCGCTGGATCCGCGAGAGTGTTCTGGTGGCCACACCGAAGACAGGCTGTTGCTCGCCTCGCTGCAACCGTCGGCTTTGAGGAAAGAGAACACGTATGAACACGTTCACCCAAGGCATGGTGAGGTAAATCAACGATGTAGAGAAACATTCCAACTCTAGATGCCGATAGTCTATACTTGTATATATTTATCATATACGAACAAAGTTATATATATATATAAGATTATTTCTACTATTATTGTTATTAATTTTGATAATTATCTATATAGATTCCGGTTGACTTTTCCGCAGACACATGGTGGATCTCAGGTCCAGGTGCCTGAGCAACTTCGTCATTTTGGCAAGCACTGAACTCAGATCGTCGCCCAATTTCCGGTCCTATGATGATTCGTGAAATGTCCAGAAACCGAAATCCATTTTCAGAGATTTTCACATGTACATTGTCCACCTATGCCCACCTATCTCCACCTTCACATGTCTTCACATTGAGGCAATGACACCAGCGACTTTGCAGATGTAGAGGCAGTTAAAGCTGCAAGCAGACTGGAGGATCAATTGATGGGAGCGGCAAGCGTGGCATCTTGGCAACAGGTGCCAAAGGCAATGGGATCCACAAGCTAGCAGCCTGAACATGACATAAACCATCATAAACCCCTCAGAAACCCCTTGGAACAGAGACGCTGAAAAGAACCGCTGTAAGCTTGGGATCTTATGATTCACTGGGAATGACGGTGGTAGCTTTTTGCCAAGGAGAGCTGGTGGGCAGGTTCCATGACGTATATGTGCCTTGGTATCCTTGGTGGGGGCGGTCAAAATCCATGGTCCATGACCCTTCGGAATTTTCTGTGGGTGATGTTCTTGGGCGTAGTGAAAGTGGAAGTGGGAGACAAAGTTCATGGTATTTCATAGTCAATATGTCAACCATCTTTGGGTGTTGTACTGCATTGCAACGTAGAGTTTTGCCTTTGCCCACGGCTGGGTAGTTTGCTGCGAGGCTCTTGGCGTTGAATTTTTTCTCTTTGCTCCTGGCCCTCGCCCGAAACAGTGCCGGCCTCAGGATCCAACACGCGCTTTGAAAGCAACATATGTTACATATGCATAAATATGCTGTCATGTGTGTGTGATTTCGCGCCAAAGATGGTTGGCGGTCAAACAATGCATTCTCAACCTCATGGAAAATGTCGCCGGCATTTGCTGGCTTCATCTTCTGGACTTGTTCGGAGCATGTCATTTTGCAATGTTTGTTTCGTCGCCCCATCCAGCCGGTATGACTGCAGGCGCTGGCCCTCAATTTCTGTGTCTGGGCGGAATCTGCCAGTGTTCAAATTCATTCGCCACCTAAACATTCATTGATCAGCCCTTGATGGGATATAGGAGTGTTCGATAGTTTTTCCCTAGCAAACCCGTCTTGGTCTTGGAGAAATCTTCGAGGCGACATGTTGTTTTAGGTGTTTAGGGTTGGGTGAGCATATGTATTCTTGAAGGGCGCAGAGAGTCAGCGATGTTATAAAAGTAGTCTATGTACTGGGATCAGCCTTTCTGGCTTCCCTGACCCAAAACTGTCATCGAAAAACCATCCATACATATAATATCGGTATACACAGCAATAGCATCAGATTAAACAATGCTAGAAACTTGTCGGAGTGACCCAGCATGAGCTGAGAGACTCTTACCTCTGTGGGTCTAAGGTTTCGAAAGACAATTAGCCACCAACTCCAACTTGCACCAACCATATGGAGACAGAACCAGAAACTGTAAGACTTGGGTTCGTCTCCGGATGTCTCCATTTCCTGGGCGTATGTACTGGTAGCAGCTTTAAGTTAGGATCTACAGCTTAGGCTTTCAACGGCATGTTGAATTTCTGTGCTGTATAGGTGATGACACCACCTAAGGACAGGGATGCCGGCGCCGCTCTTACGTTGGGGCTTGCCCGGCGTGTCCGCAGCAAGCACATTTATTTCTGGACTCGTTGGACGCTTTCGATTCATGCTACTCAGATGGGAATTTATGTGTGGCCAGTGCAGGCATGCTCAATGGGCTCATGAAAATGGAATGACATCGTTTTGGTTGTAAGAAGATCAGGCAGCAAGGGCCCGTCAAACTGAATGAGAAACCTCAGATGCCATGAGCTTGCATCATGGGTCAGCAGCATAGAGTAAACAATCAACGTGATAGTGGCACACTGCATCTTTCGAGAAAACAAAAAAGTCCCTGTGCACCAACTGCGTTCGGGTTTTAAATTTGTAATTGCTGACATCAACGTATCATCAAAGGTGCAGATGAAGAATCTGTTCGCAGATTACGTAGGGCCACATTTTCTGGTGTGTTTCCTGTTAGCAAAATGCTTGGCGACATACCTTGACCTGCCTCAAAGTATACTCTTTTTAATGTCCAGGACTACCATGTGAAAATATTCCGACACATGTCTTTTGAATCCTTTTGACATTTTTGCTGGGATGGGCATTGCATTGGTGCAATCTGACACATGTTCTTTCAGATTGATGAAATCTGTGCACCTCTGTCGCTGAATTTGACACTCATGCTCAGGTTTTTTTCTGTATACATGATTTCATAGATGTAGACTTGCGATCACCTGAGTAAGTTGAACCGCATGCTTGTCCAAATCCTGGCACTTATTCTGGGATCATTGTTTTCCCAGCAGGATTCTGCAGGTTCCACGAAAATCCCATGTTGGTCGCCATGGGGTTTTCCAAGGCTGCGCTGGAGCAAAGCCCGCAGCGCTGCAGCTCAGTTGGAAGCAGAGATTTGGAAGTTCCGCACGCGTGTCTGCGCTTCCTGGCTCAAAACTTGAAACTGACAAGTTCCTAATTGCCCTACTTGCACCTAATTGCCATTCAAAGTATCAAATCTCTTTTATGTGTTGTTGTATGTTGTTGCTGCAACCATGGCACCCCAGCTGAGGAATATGCAGTGGTTGGAACGAGAACCTTGTCTGAATCATGCGCACGGTTTCCTCAAGATTCAAAGGAAGCGCTTGTGACCAGCGATTATAGACAGGTCCTGCGCCTCCCCAGGAGATGAGGAGGATGGCAGCATTCCAGCCGGCGAACTTGGTCAAGCCATTACGCGGGAACGAAAGCAGGCAGGAAGCCTAACTTGATCCGCAGCCAGACAGCCAACAATGAACATAAATGTAGAAAAATGTGACAAACATCCAGCGCAACACAATAACGTATACCAATTTACCGTTGTTGACAGTCTCGCACAATGGGCTGAAGCGTTGTTTCCTTTTCGGTCCTTTGAGGTGGAGAGACTTGAAATATCTTGACATGGCTGTCTTGAGTTTGGAATGGAACAGGATTAGGATCCAACCTTCTCGACAGGATGAGTTTCTCTGGGGAATGAAATTTTTGAGTTTCGACAGCATGATGTTGTCTCTGTCGACAGGATGTTACGCGAAGCTGGTTTCGTGCAAATGTCAGATGCTTGGTGCGGCTGCTTCCCTCCAGCAAAAGAAATGGAAGAGGGGATTTTTCCTGTGCAAATTCTCGTGCTGGATGTCTCAAAACCCATCTCAACACTTTGCTACGCGCAAGGTACATGGTTCATGACCGAGTTGCTTTTTGTCCAATGTCAATACCTTGTCAATATATATATATATATGTTTTTGACCGAATGCATAAAATCGCATGCCAGCAGTTCTAACATCAGAAGGAATAAAGATGTTCGACCGCGAGGTCAACAGCATCTTCAATACTGCGATGGAAGAAATGGGCACCAGCTCATTGCATGGCCATGGCTTCGACAAACTTCCGAGCAACGTGAGAAGTACAAAGTACCCGCATGGTGCTTAGAGGCTTGCAGCTGCTAAACTTAGGACTTGGATGATTTTTGGGGGTACCCCCATTATAGGAAACTTTCAATTTTTTGGAATCGAGACTCTTTCAGTCCTAAAGTTGCAGACCTCCAGATAGGAAGACGCGGATGGGTAAACAACCTGAGAAGTACAAACTTGGAAAGTAACTTCCGCGGTGTGTTCTGGCGAGGAGGGCAGGCATAGCATGTTGAAACTTTGATTCAGTTGTTTTTCAAGTTTTTGGCAGACACAAGGCTGCTTGCACCTTTCAATAGGTTTTCTCTGTGATGCTTAGAGTGGCTACGTTTGTTGCTTCTTCACCGAGGTTCTTGTGCTGGTGCTGCAGGAGACAAAAGAAACCCAGACAAGACGAGCGTGGTCAAATCGTGGCAAGTGGCCATGACGGTGTGCCTTGGAACCAGAAATGTCGGCACGGTGATTTTCGGCAGTGAATTCCGTAGACCCTCCGGTAATCAAACATGGCAACGGAAAATCATGGAAAATCCCAAATTTGTTGTATAGGCGATTCTCCCATGAAAGCCTTCATGCACTGGTATAGACGCTGTTTTCATTGCCATATTTGATATGACATTGTCTTTTCTCGACGGCCTCAACTGTTTGAACTCAAAGATTTGAGGATGGACATGCTGGGGATGCCTGTCGACCGAGTTTTTTTGTGGGCAAATAGAATTTTCTTTCTGTTCAGGAAAATCCGTGGTGTCTATATGTTTAAAAATATCAATATTATTGTAAATCCCATGGTTTAGGGATTAAAACTGATTGTATAAATATTCTACTAATATTCCATTACAATATCCCACGGTGTCCATTTTTTGTAATATCATTGAAAAATCCATACTGTACTATGCCACCAATGATAGAATATGCCTGCAATATACCACTACAATACCCCATGGTTTCCGTATTATTGTGGATACTCCATGCATATTCGTTGCAGTTTTGGGCAATTATTACCCGTACTGTCTTATCATAATTTCTTGCATAAGATTTGTATATTTTACTAAATACTTCTTGTCATACGTATACTAACTATTGTGTAATATTGATGTATTATTTTTGCGTGGTCTTGTCGTAGTTTTCATCATTTGAATAACGGATAAAAACATGTTTTCATTTTCATGCCATTCCCCGATTAGGGTCTTCTCCTATTGTTAGTGAGGATTTCTGCGTTCTCAGTCTTTGAGGCGACTCATGCAAAATATGGCTCTCAAAATAAAAGGGTCGTCCCCGTAGCGGGTATGAAGGTTTTGCACACCCCTCAGCAAGGCCAAGGCGAAGCCAGACTAAACTAGTTTTTTCGGCTTTCTCATTTCACACCTTCGCCAATTTCTGAGGCCCTGAGCCAAAACGACCTGTCTAGATACGGCCACATAGGCACCATCAGCTGGAGATTGAGATCTTCGAACCTAGTAACCTTCAATCAAAATATAACCACCAAAATGATAGAAAAATTACTCACCACTATTCTAGTACGGTTTTACCTTTTATTTTTCCGGGTTGCTAGTAGGTGGCTAAGTTCGGATTGGTGGCAACACTGCAGCACAGCAAGACCATTGCAACATATTGCAGCCATGGGAGGGATGTCGGCAGGCGTCGACGAATACTATCACCAGCGAACTTTGTCGGTGTTCGAGCGCATGAAGAACCAAGCGCCTGGGATGAGGCTGAGGTTGTTGAGGTTGTTGAGTTATTGTTTCACTGCAACGGCGAACACTTAAAAAAAAATAAAGGACCGGATAACCCCACATGTCAACTTCTTCCAGCAAGCAGCAAAAGAAAGGTAAAGATAGCATGGGGAAAGCAGGAAAGAGAAAAGAGATGGTGAAGGATTGGTGCGGAGCAAGTTGTGTGTGGAAGATTAAGTACGAGTGATTGATTTCCAGCTAGATAAGCAATACTGAACACACTAATCCAATAACATCAAGTCGCCTCAGACAGCGCCAGCTCTTTCGCAATAACATCCACGTATAGACCGGTATGAGTAAGTTGTGCATGCATGTATGTATGTATGCATGTATTGAACAGCAGCATCTGCGCGACGAAGTCGGTGCCTGGCAGAACAACAGAAAACACCGGCTGTCACGAAGACTGTTAGTTTCAGAAGCACAGATTGACAACAGACATATGAACACCACATGTCGCCAACAAAGACGAATACTGCGCAACAGACTGTCTCAAAGTGCCACGCCTGCCACGCAAAGTGCAGCTACATGTCGCCAAGTGCCACGCCTGCCACGCAAAAAGCCGCGGCGTCCACGGCGACATGTGGGAACCGAGCGCGCCACCAGAGCCAGCCCAGTGCCATACGTGCCACGCCTGCCACGTGAAACGAAGGTGAATGTCTCAAAGTGCCACGCCTGCCACGTGAAACGAAGGTGGATATCTCAAAGTGCCACGCCTGCCACGCAAAGTGCAGCTACATGTCGGCAAGCGCCACGCCTGCCACGCAAAAAGCCGCGGCGTCCACGGCGACATGTGGGAACCGAGCGCGCCACCAGAGCCAGCCCAGTGCCACGTGAAACGAGGGTGGACGAAGGTGGATGTCTCAAAGTGCCACGCCTGCCACGCTTGCCACGCAAAGTGCAGCTACATGTCGCCAAGTGCCACGCCTGCCACGCAAAAAACCGCGGCGTCCACGGCCACATGTGGGAACCGAGCGCGCCACCAGAGCCAGCCCAATGCCATACGTGCCACGCCTGCCACGTGAAACGAAGGTGGACGAAGGTGGATGTCTCAAAGTGCCACGCCTGCCACGCAAAGTAACAATCCATGTCACGAAGTGCCACGCCTGCCAAACAAAGTGAAGGTGGATGTCTCAAAGTGCCACGCCTGCCACGCAAAGTGCAGCTACATGTCGCCAAGTGCCACGCCTGCCACGCAAAAAGCCGCGGCGTCCACGGCGACATGTGGGAACCGAGCGCGCCACCAGAGCCAGCCCAATGCCATACGTGCCACGCCTGCCACGTGAAACGAAGGTGGATGTCTCAAAGTGCCACGCCTGCCACGCAAAGTAACAATCCATGTCACGAAGTGCCACGCCTGCCACACAAAGTGAAGGTGGATGTCTCAAAGTGCCACGCCTGCCACGCAAAGTGCAGCTACATGTCGCCAAGTGCCACGCCTGCCACGCAAAAAGCCGCGGCGTCCACGGCGACATGTGGGAACCGAGCGCGCCACCAGAGCCAGCCCAGTGCCATGCGTGCCACGCCTGCCACGCAAAGTGACGATCCATGTCGCCAAGAACAAGTTGTGTGATGAAACTGTTCACAAGTTGTGTGTCCAAGTACCACGCCTGCCACGTGAAACGAAGGTGGATGTCATCAAGTGCCACGCCTGCCACGCAAAGTAACAATCCATGTCATGAAGTGCCACGCCTGCCACGCAAACAGCCACGGCGAAGTGAAGGTCGATGTCACAAAGTTGCCACGCCTGCCACACAAAGTGAAGGTGGATGTCACAAAGTGCCACGCCTGCCACACAAAGTGTGTGTGCAAGTTGTGTGTGAGTAAGTTGTGTGTGTGTGTGAGTAAGTTGCGTGTGTGCAAGTTGTGTGTGTGTGTGCACAAGTTGTGTGTGAGTAAGTTGTGTGTGTGTGCAAGTCGTGTGTGAGCAAGTTGTGTGTGTGTGTACAAGTTGTGTGTGTGCAGGTTGTGTGTGTGTGCAAGTTGTGTGTGACTAAGTTGTGTGTGTGAGTAAGTTGTGTGTGTGTGTGCAAGTTGTGTGTGAGTAAGTTGTGTGTTACAAGTTGTGTGTGTGTGTGTGCAAGTTGTGTGTGAATAAGTTGTGTGTGAGGAGGCGACGGGAGCGGGAGGAGGAGGCGGAGCGGGAGGAGGCGGACGGGATGCAGAACCAAAAACAAGAACCCCACACAAAGACGTGGGGAACAACTCATACAATGCATGGTTGCTGCCAAGTGCTACGTGATAGCCGATGCAAGATTGCTGTGAGATAACAATCTAAACTCTGCCAAGGCTTCACTTTTGATGGTGCAAGAGTGCCATGCTGAATTCGCCCAAACGTACTATGTTTGCCCAGGCCTTTTGGCTGACATTCCTGCAAGGTGCCCTTGAGAGTGTCCCGGCAAAGTTGGATTCGCTGGCGGAACAGATTCGTTTCTGTTAGTCGGCATATGGCCCTCCGAGATACCGCTGAGTCGCTGAGGTTTGGTGCTCCTCCTTGGTACCTTCGGCGTTTTGCTGTCCACCTTTGATCAGACCGAGATTGCGATGATTTGCTTGTCCTTGGTGCAGAGCTTAGCTGTGAAGTTCTGGCTGGCTTAACACACTGGACATGCAGCAGCAAATCGTTCAACATGAGCATTGAAAGCTAGAGAAGAATAAGATGTGTAGGTAGCGTAAAGAGGTGAGCTAAGGAGGGGAAGATAAATTGTATGTGCCGGAAGTTGCTTATAGTCATGGTTGGAACGCAGTGTCAAGACTCAATCAAGACTAGAACTCCAGAATACTATCATCATGTTTGCGGTGTATTGAGAAGATCGGGAATTCCTGCGTCAACACATGTTTTTCACTGCTGTGTGTTCTTCGGAAATTGCTCAGGACCGCGCTAGTACCAAACAACTTGAATTAAATAGTGTAGCGTCGGCAGCTCTTAGCATGGTTGAAGCCACGAGCTAGATTAGTTTGTCAGTTTCTTTTGCTGTCGACTCTGGTGTGGTTCATCATTTGTTCATTCGGAACTTGCACTTGTAGGCTGCGAATTTGCAAGCTTTAGAAACTGGGACGCAAGGGTCCCATGTTGAATGCCACGTTCGTAGCGAACTTGTTGAGCTGTTGATTGATCTCTGTGTGACAAGAGTGGGAACAAGAATAGGCCACGGTCAAGTTGACATCGTTGCATTTCAAAGGATGGCGAACTAAGGAAAGGTTTCATGCTCTCAGCAATCGCTTAGATGCTGCCAATGCTGGTGAACGTGACTTGCGCCTCTGCCGAATTGAATGTTCATGATTTCTCGTCCATCATCGGTCTTTCACATGTATGTGGCACTTGCAACCGCATGTAAAGACAGCCTAGACCCTGCATGGACCCACAATAAGTGAACATGTGGCGTGTTGCCCCAGCATTTTGGCAATTACTCTCTGTAGAGTTGGGTGCGAAGCGGCTCCCCAGAAAAAATACGATCCCGCATTTAAGTAAGGATTTCAATTCGCGACAACTGAAATCTAATTTATTTTTTTTTGCCGATGAACTTGTGATATTTGTAGTACTTGCAGTACTTTAGTGAGTGGGGTTCAGCATGTTGGTTGCGTTAACTTTTCCACCTAAAATATTGTTCTTAATGATACATGTACTGAGAGAAAGAGAAAGAAAAAGAGAGGGAACAAGAGAAAGAGAGAGAGAGAGAGGAAGAGGAAAAGGAAGAGGAAGAGCAAGAGGGACAGAGAGAGAGGACAGAGAGAGAGGAACAGAGAGAGAGAGAGAGGAACAGAGAGGGAGGACAGAGAGAGAGGAACAGAGAGAGAGAGGGAGGAACAGAGAGAGAGAGAGAGAGAGAGGAAGAGAAAGAGAAAAGAGAAAAGAGAAAAGAGAAAAGAGAAAAGAGAAAGAAAAGGTTGCTTTTGGAAAAGGCCTACCTTTCTTCCCCGGAAAAAAAGGCTGCAATTGTGAACCCTGAGAACAAACCTACTAAAGTGAACTGGACCCTCTCATGGCGCAGTGCCGTGGAAATGTGTGGAAAAGCCGTTCTTTAATAAAGGTTTAATAAGCGGTCTGTTTCTTTTGGGAAAGGGTTGGGACGTTGAACTTTGCAATTGCTCTTGTAAAAGGTTTTTCTTTCTTCTCAGTCTTCGCTTGGCTCCAGCATCAGTTCTGGAAAAAATGCTGCAATTGTGAGCCCTGAGAACAAACCTACTAAAGTGAACTGGACCCTCTCATGGCTCAGTGCCTTGGAAATTTGTGGAAAAACTGTTCTTTAATCAGGGTTTAATAAGCGCTCTGATTCTTTTGGAAAGGCAGACAAGCACGATTTTTTCCAGAAAAGATGTCATTTTTTCATGCAAACATTTTTTCAAAAATCAAAGGGCTACGCCCTCTGCCGCCGACCCCTGGAGGGTCAGGTCTGTGTGAAACTTAGTGCACCAACGGACGCTGGTGCAGGTGTGCAATCCCTTTTCGTCGCTTGCCTTTTTGTGTTTCCACCATCAACAAGCCATTTCAAATGTATCTAACCGAAGGAAGTTTAGAAGTGAAACTTCCGACAAGAGGGCCAGATGGAAAAGCAGAGGTGGGCAGAGTCAGAGAAGAGCAGAGAAGAAGCAAGAAGATCAGAGAAGAGAAAGAGTCAGAAGAAAAAAGATGCAGGTGCGCGCAAAGGTAGAAAAGTCGCAAACCACTGTGTGTTTCCAATGTTTTGTGACTCAGGAGGGTCGAAAAGTAGGCTCGCTAAAGCGGCGGGTGCGGAGCCATCTGGCCAGATGAGAGATGAAAAATTGCACGGCTTGTGGTGCGAAGCAAATTTCGAAGTCAAAATGTAGAAAACACCGCGGCTCCGGAGCGCTTTTAGACGTTGAGATGTCGAGAAAGTGCACGCCGTTGTGGCGCGAAGCACATTTCCAAGTCAAAATGATTCAGAATGCACGACGAAGCACACCAGGGTCGGAGCACTTTTGGAAGTTGCGATGTCGAAAAAGTGAACGCTGTTGCGGCGCAAGAAACTGGGTCCATATTGTTGCCTTCGCCACACCGAAGCACCATGCTACTGAAGTCTACTGCAGGACGGACCTATGCCAGTAACCTCGCAAGCCACCAAAAGGCTGGCTTCCGCTTGCTTTTCCATGTCTTGCTGGCTCTTGCCTTTTCCCGCTTGCGCTTTACGCTTTTCTGTGCTTTCTATCTTCTTGGTCTATCTCTTGGCCCCTCTTATCTGACGCGCTCCCCCTGCCGTCGGCAGGGGTCGGTCGGCGGATATCTTGCAAATGCTGTGACGTGTTGGACCAGTCAGTGCATGTTACAAACTTGGACTCCGCTGATTATTTTTTAGTATAAGGCCCGCAGTATGTTCTTAGAATAGTCTCCTGAAGCCTTTTCACAGGCTCGTGGCTGAACCTGGAACACAGTTGAAAGTTAGATTTCCAAATTCCCGCTCTCAAGCCTCCGGAAGCTGCAACAAACTAGCTCCGAATGCAGCAGCCTGGCATCCAAAACCGTGGATTTGCCAGTTCCAAACACCATGAGAGTGAAGGCTGGGGTCTTTGGGTCCGCGGCTGCCTGTGCCTAACGTTGCTTTCTGAACCGACAAGGAACTAGCTTCAAATTCCCGCTCTCAATCCTCCGGAAGCTGTGAGAGACTAGCTCCGAATGCAGCAGCCGGGCCTCCAAAACCGTGGGTTTGCCAGTTCCAAACACCATGAGAGTGAAGGCTGGGGTCTTTGGGTCCGCGGCTGCCTAAACGACAAGGAACTAGCTTCAAATTCCCGCTCTCAAGCCTCTGGAAGCTGTAAGAGCCGAATGCAGCAGCCGGGCCTTCAAAACCATGCTCGCCCGTTCCCAGTTCCAAACACGATGGGTGAAGGCCGGACGGGGTCTTTGGGCCCGCGGCTGCCTGCGCCTAAGGCCGGATGGGGTTCTTGGGCCCACGGCTGCGCCTAACGCTGCTTTCTGAACCGACAAGAAACTAGTTCCAAATTCCCGCTCTCAAGCGTCCGGAAGCTGTAGGAAACCAGCTGCGAATGCAGCAGCCTGGCCTCCAAAACCGTGGGCTCGCGGCTGCCTCTGCCTAACGTTGCTTTCTGTTTCGAAATTAGCTCCAAATCCCCGTTCTCAAGCTTCCAGAAGCTGTAAGAAACCAGCTCCGAATGCAGCAGCCTGGCCTCCAAAACTGTTGGGCTCACCAGCCCCAAACAACATGAGAGTGAAGGCCGGACGGAGTCTTTGTGCCCGCGGCTGCCTGTGCCGAACGTTGCTGTCTGAACGGAGTAGAAACTAGCTTCCAAAACCGTGAGCTTGCCAGTCCCAGACACCGTGATGGGGATGAATGCTTCTTGCCCCTCGCTGCTTGTAATTTCTCCTCTGACGCGCTCCCCCTGCTCCAAGCGGGGGCGGCGGATAAATGGAATGCCAAAAATTTTTGCCACAATAGTAGTGAACCTTCCAAACATTGCAGGGGCGCAGAATAATTTGGAACATTTTGGCCACAATAGCGAACCTAGACACTACTCAGGACACAACACCGAAAATTGAAGATGCAAAGATCGAGACTTAGCCCCCGTGGCAAAAATTGAGGATTTGCGCTTGGCAAGACTGGAGCGCCATGGAACCTCGGGCAGCAAGTTGCAAAGCTGTCAAGGTGAGAGGGAGGCACAAGCTGTCACAACTACAGACATGGGAATGGGTGAGAACCCTGTGATTTTCATGTTTTGGCGATCCATATGAATCTCGCTTATTTGTCAGGCGAACAGAAAGGTACCAGGGTTTTAACATGTTTTGACCCATAGCTTTGAGATCTTGTCATATCTTGTCTCTTTACAGCTGAGGAGCCAATGCAACGCCGGTTTCAGGCCAGCGTAAGCAGGCCGAAGCATGACCTGGACACGTCAGAGATGTTCTCTCGGTGAAATTTCAGGTTTGAACTTGTTTGAGTGTGCAGGCTTGTATTGACAACAGAGGGTGCACCTTGGCAAAATTGTTGTTGTGCGCGCCAAAGTACAAACCTTCTTTTTGCATATGTTTGCACTGTTTCGCTATGTTGCCTGGCTGGCCTTCAAGACAAACGCTCCGCAAGGTAAATGTAGCTTTGACCATCGCAGCAACTGCTGGAGTGCGCCAATCGCTCCCAACGTCGACGATTCTTGGAACCAAGCACGTTGTTTGATTATAAGTGTCACAGATAAGGAACTTGTCGAATCATATCAATTCCGTTGTTCGTCTTTGTTTTTTTTGGTCATGGTGGGACTGAAAGAAGCAAGTTGGATGGGAATTCAATGATGTTCAGTCACTCCTTTGGTACTGTATCCTTTGGTCTATTCCATCACAGCCTCTCTGCTGATTGCACGCAAAGGATGTTTTCTCAGTCTAAGCACATGTCCTCGATCACTGGTTCTTTTGGCAGTTCCGTCACGACTTCAAAATCTTGGTTATCAAACCTTGATGTTAAATATCTTTGACATGGAACTCCTAGCAAGGGCATCATCAGATGTCAGGAAACCAAACTGAGTGGTGAACTTTGTCACTATCGTCAATGGCAGCCTCTGGGTCAACAAAGCCGCTCTGTGCATCACGAGTTTTCACAAGTTGACAATGACAGACCTACTTTTGTTGGACCAGAGGCTGCCGGTGACATGGCCGTACGGCCAATCTTATTTTGCTCAAGGCAGAATCAACCATGTGGATAGCTCCAAACGGAGCGTCTTTTTCCTTGGTTCTAAAGTCGAGGGACTTGCTAGCAGCAAAGCTGCTTTATCGAGGAATGCCTCGCAGGTTTTTAACTTTTAACACAAGGCTTTTGGCTGGAATCGAATTGTATTATATTGTGATTCTGCTTGTTTGTGATTATCTGCTGAAATTGTCTCGTTGCAGCGCTTCAAAGTGGACCAGAAGTCTACCTCCCATGCTGGCTGCTGAGGGTTTTTGACCTTAGCATGCCAGCCCAAAGACATTGCGAGGAAAAGACAATAGGCTCCCACCATGGAATGATTCCAAGGCCAGGCTGCGGAGTGGGAATCTCGGGGTGACTCACATCACTTCTCTCCGCAGGTGTTGGTGGCTCTTCAGGGACAGTGAAATCTGCAAGAACAGCTGGGAGCTGCGCAGCTGCGAAATGCTGAATGTGCCCAAACAGAAACTACAGAAGATATCAGAAGATAGCAATGAAGCAATGATTATACAAATTAAATTTATAAGCTGGTATGTAGATCAACAGTACCAAAACTCCATGTATTGCGACGGGGTCCAGCAGCATATTTGCAAGGCCAAAGCGCTGTTCCACTGTGAATCTTGTCGTGCCCTTAAGGGGCGAAGGCCCAGGCAACATGCAGATCCGGGTCATGCAGTGGAACGTGTTGGTGTGAAGCCCCAGTTGCCATGTGTCCTGGAGGGAAAGGCTTGTGGAAGGGTTGTGGAAGTTGCCATATCCCCCAAGACTTGGCAATATGGTTCTTCCATGTTCTTCCTTAGCCATGAGAGTCAAGTTCCGAACCTTTGCAGTGAAGTGCTTGAATTGAAAAGGTTTTGATCATTTTTGAGCCATTGCGCCATCAAATATCCCCGGGACTTGATCTATTTCCTGGAGATCCCCAGACATGGACACGTGCAGTTCCTAGATTTGGTACGCAGACATACACACCCACACGAAAATTTGTTGATGTTCGTATTTCGCTATAGGGGGCTGACGTTTGCCCGAAATCCACGGAATTCCATGCGGGACTGCAATCTGCTGTGTTGTTTCCGTGCGTGTTTTTTGTACACTGCGAGCGTGCAAAATATTGATATTACCTGAGTCTCATGGCATTTTTGCGCTTCCCTAAGACGGTGCCAAAATCACCGTTTGAAGCGTATCTGAAAGATATCCTCCGTAATTTGCAGTGTTTCGAGCCGCTAACTGAGACCTCAACAAACCGCAAGATTTTGAAAGAACACCAAATTAACCTAACCCTGAATAAACCTTAAATAAACCCTAAACAAACCCTAAACCAACCCGAAAATCAACCATTAAACAACTCCAACTAGACCCTAAAAAATCCTGAACAAACCCTAAAAAACAACCCTAGACAACACCAAAATTAACTATACAAACCCTAAATAAACCCAAAAAAGAAAATCTAAACCAACCCTAAGGAAACCCTAAAGCAATCTGAAATATATCCTGAACAAATCACAGCGTAGCTAAACCCCCAGTGAAACTTTGGGCGAACGTCCGGCCAGGAGGGTCGCATTTAAACATGTTTGCACATAACAAGTTCCATCTATCATTGTGAATCCTGTTTCAAGTGAGCGTGGCTGAAGTATACACACGATAGATGTAAACACAGGCAAATACACACACTTGCTCAGAAACATCTTTGCGAATTCTGATGTGGAATGCATCGTACGTGCAAAAACACTTCAGTTAAACCTGACAGGAGTGGTTGGATGACCCGACGTGAGAAACTGTGTGAAGTAAATCACTCAATTTGCTAGATGAATCAACTCTTTCTGATGCAGCTCGATCTTCCTCTATTGACCGTAGAAAATTCCAGATTGCGACAACAGTGCAGGCATGAAAAAAAATGAAATGTAAATCAAATCGACATGCCGGTTCTTGGCTTGGCCGGTCGCCATTTCTGAACACTGACAACGAAAAATGAAGCAGGTACGTCACGGTGATCAGCCGTGATATCCGCATGTACTGTGGCCTCTTCGTTGGACCATCGCACACAGTACATGGATGGTCCCCCTGCTGGAAGTAAGTTTGTTGTGCAAAATCAAGAAATCAAAAAATCACAAAACGGTTTGAAGTTTTACATCTCTTCAGATGTTCCACACACACGCCCCGCTGCCGCGAGGCTATTTTGTGCAACGACTGCACGGATTGTCGCAAAGCTCTTGTATGTTCCCTGAGTCAGGATATATCAATGAAATCAAAATGCTGGGAAAGAAATGCAGTTGAATTAGCCGGACTGCTCAGTCTAGGTTGCAGATTTTGGTGTCACATCGCCGCTAATCATCGATATCTGATAAGTCTTCCATGTCCTGTGCCTGCCGGGCTAGGACGTGCGACGTCTGTGCCAAATGGCTGGCAAGGTGGGCCAAATCTGCCGCCGTGAAAACCTCGATCGGACTGGCACTCAAGTCATCTCCTGGATTCTCAAGCTTCTCAAGGATCGCTGCATTGGATTCCCTGTCACTGTTGAGGATGTTGTGGAGGACTGTGGCCAGTTGGTGAATCTGACTTGGAATCGGTAACGTGCCAATGTTGGCAGTGATGGATTCATTGTCATCCATTTCGGATTCAGGTGGTGCTTCTTGGTCATCCTGTTGTCGATCAGCATTGTCAGATGGTTGTTGGAAATTGTGCCAAGAGGCGTTCTCTCCGTGTACTTCAGGGATGTTGAAGTAACGACGCCAGTAGTTGGCAAGCTGTGTTGCTTGCCCCCAGCTGTCTATGTTTCCTTCGTTGTCTGCCCTTACATGACCAACAATCCCATTGAAGAAGAATTCCGGCTGACGGTTCCGTTGGAAGCCATAGCGATCGACTTCCGTCACCATGAGGCGGTTGATGCCTGATGGGTGGGTTGACATGACCTCCTTGAAAATGTGAGTATGGAGCACTCGATGCTGTTGTTGGATCTCCGTCTGGAGTGGATACGCTTCCCCTTGGGGGTATGACGTGGATCCCTCCGGTAGAGGAACAGAAGGAGTCACCAACGTGTAACCATAATGTTGAGCATTGGACGTCATGTTACTGGCGTCCATTCCTAGGCCCTGATGTGGGTCGTGAGGCCAGTTGCCCATCGCGGTACTTGATCTTGACCCATCATCTGAAGAAGCAGCGCCGCTTCTGGATGGCCATTGGATGTTAAATTGCCGACGTTGCATGCTCGTAGGGACACGAGGGGAGTCAATGCCGGCAAAAACGGAATCCCTTTTTGTCATAGTAAAAACTGAAGCCAGGGGCTAAGGGAAGGAGAATGAAAAAGTAATGTTGAAACAAAGAAAATGGTTCCGAAAGCAGTAGATAAAAGAAGTGCAACAACATGACATGAATAAGCAGGAGCGGCACGCGGGAAGGACTTTTTTCCTCCCGTGACTTATGGAAGCATGTTGGGGTTTGGGAGTGCCGCGTGGCAACTCAGACGCATGATATATGGCTGATTCGGAGACGTGAATGCGCGAATTTCATTCGGCAACAAAATCCCGAAGTCTTGACCCTCAGTCCAGTGTGGACGATGTTCACGAAGAAGATCAATCAAGGTCTGCTCATTGCGCAGGACGAAGGTGTCGCCCGTGCTGTCTTGCCAACGAAGATCCATGGAGGTGGGCTCCAAGTAGCGATCCCAGGTATATGTGATGTGCTGACTAATATAGTACAGCAAGATGTTCACCGTAAGAGTTTCGGTGTGATATGGATGGACCAGGACATTGTAGGTGAACAGAGCATATTCTTCCATCCGACCCAAAGAAGGTAAGGAACAGCATGTTGTTGATTCCATGGTGTCTCCATGGACAGCTGTCACGGGTGGGCGAACCGGTTCGAGGTCGACTATGATGAGCACTCTTCGAGGTTGCCGTACTGGTGGTACTTCACGCCACACGTCACGATATTGAGAATTGCTTTGTCGCGAGTAGCTGCGATGGTGCCACATGGGATCATCCCGGGAGCGGGAACGATCTGGGACCATTCGTACGTAATCAGAAGAGTAAGCCATAATGACTAAGACAAGCGGGAAATATATGGCAACCGAAAAGTTTGCAGACAACAGGACAAACCCAAGAGCAGTGAAAGAGACACCTAACATGCAAGCTTGACAATAAAGAGGTAAACACTCCTTTTTTCCTTTAGTGGTGTTATAGAGCCTCTTAGTCTTCTGCCTCGGGCTCGTGAGGAGGCGGGACTTGACCGTGTTGGTCAGACGTTTGTTTAAGGATCGCCCATCGCATTTTGCATACTTGAGGATCACGACGTAGCCCACCAATTGTTTTCCATGAAGGACGAGAGTTGGTGTCATTCTTGAGATTGATCAACTCTTGATCGTCCATGTCCGTCCAGGGACGGTATGGTGGTTCATTGGGAGCTCGTGTAGGATCAGCAGGTTGAAGGATACGAATGGTAGGGTTTGGTGTAAGAACCAACGGAGTTGAGGTTCCTGGTGGAGTTGTGTTGTGGGTGGTTGAAGGTACGGTGGCAGTTGCAGGTGGACCAGTGTCCATTGCTGAGGCTTCGTGTGCGGATGGAGCCTTTGAGGCGGCGTCTTCATCAGAGTCATCCGAATTGAAACCCGTTCGTGGGATCTCTGAGATGGACAGGGACTGGAGTCGTGGTTCTGGTGGTTACACGAGGAAAACCAGCTGCTGGTGTGTTCCATTTTGGGTCGTCAAGAGACGCAGTTGAGGTATGCCCTCCACTGGGCACAGGAGCCCGGGTTGTGACATCAAGGCTTGGATTATGTCCTTCTTCTTCTCGTGGATGGCTGGCGATCGTAAGAGGACGTAGATTTGGTTCGGGATTCAAGACCATGTGTGTCGGAATGCCTCCATGGGATACCATTGTTGGTGGGTTGGACGAGGCAGGTAAAGGGACAAAGGACGTATGGAGGCTTCTTGACGCTGGGTTGGAGCGTCCTGATCTGCGATGGTGATCAGGGATTAGATCATCCTATTCAATGGATGGTTCAAAGAATGGTAGGAGGCCCGCGAGGTAATTCAAATGCATGATGGCTCGAGCCAGGTGGTGGTGAAATGCTCGGCCTTGAGCGTGGTCCATGATCACAGTAGCAGAGGAGAAGCGGAGAGAGGGAAGCGAAGCGAGTTTGAGCCAAGCTGAACGAAGGAAGGAAAGAAATTAGTAAACAGTGAAGACCGAACCAGAAAAGGAGATAGGAGAAACCACACCAAAAACAAACCAACAAACCAACAAAGAAGCAAATCATTCACAAGAATGGGTACGCGAAGATGTCCGCATAGTTTTGCTCATGCGACTGAAGGTTCTGATGCTGAATCATGATTTGAGTGGAAATGTTGTGGAGTTCCTCCTTGGGAAAACGAGCAACAGTGTACACATGAATTAATTGGTCGAGCCCTTGTCGGATACGAAACTCCGGGAACGCTCCTTTGATCACAATGTGGCATCGAGATCGGAAGCCACTCAGCAGGACTTTGAGTGGAGATGCTGAGAAAGGCGAGAGGACTTGGGAGACATTGGTAGGGCCCTGATAGATAAGTTCCAATGGTTTTGTCTCCAGCATGAAGCCAAGAAACTCTTGATCGGGTTCAGTTTCGAGGATTATGGGTTTTCCATAAATCCATCGTCCAGGAGGACTTCATATGGCGGGAGATCTTTGAGGCGTTTGTCCCCAAAGATGAGTCGGTTGTCCACGTAGCGAATGTGACGAATGAATAAATTATGGTTGGAAAGGATTTGTTTGAAGTTGGTGGACCAGATTTGTTCGCTGATGGAAACAACCATGAGGCATAAAGCTGGGGACAATGGACTTCCCGTCGGGCTGCCTCGACATTGACGGATGCATTCTGTCCCAGAGCGAATGTTTGCATGTTCAGTGCTGATCTGATTAGATCTGGGACGTCTTTGATGGTGATCTTCCGGGTGACATTGAGTCGACGGAATGTACGGCCCTTAATGATGTCTCCAGGGTTGTTGATTTTCCTGGATAAACCGAGAATGCTTCGTTGTCTGACACATCCATGTGGGGTCGAGCATAAACCAAGCCCCAACAAATCTATCTTGATCTATGCTGGTGAAGAATCCAGCAAGGTCTTGGTTGACCAGGATGAGACCGGCGTCGACAGGCGCTGATTTGAGAATGGGCAGGAGTGTGTAGACATCTCCTGACGCAAAGTGATTTGGGCATGCTACTGGGATCAGCTGGAAGATTAGTCGAGCCAAGATGTTGAGCATGGGGCGAAACGGTGAGTCCACAAAGGAGATGATGGGTCTGCCACTGCGAAAGTCTTTCTTTCGTTTTGCCAAGATGTAGCCCGAAGGTAGTTGTCGACCGTTTCCAACTGCCCAGGGATAGGTCTTTCCATGTTGTTGTTGTAGGGTCTCAACTAGTGATGAGACGATGGAAGTTGGATCCTCTGGTAGCTGTTCGAAGATTGAAGGATCTTGGAAGGTTTGTTCGATGGATTGGTAGTAGAGGCATCGGCAGTAGATACGTAAGGAGGAAGATTGTTTGTCTTCGCAGTGGAAGATGGCGCCTTCAAAGGTTTGTTGGAATTGATTGATAGAGGACTTGGTGATGTGGCACGTGACCTGTTTGGAGTGTTCCGACCAGAATTGTTGGCACAGGTCAGAGATGCCGGAGAGGGGGTGTCGGAGGTTGGTTGGCTTGACGCTCTTGAGTCTTTTCCACCAGTGCTTGAAGGCTAGATTCAACAGTGTGCTTCATCTGTTGTAGCATCTCGTCCGGACTGAAGGATGGAGTAGGTCCAGATTGTGTGGCTGGAGTGGTCACCGGTGTGGGTGGGCCTGGTGCCTGAGGTCCTGACGGTTGTGAAGTGGGTGGAATGGATGGAGCTTGAACCGGTTGTGGAGGTTGGTGGACAGGAATGAGCTGCTGGAGATGTTGGATATGGGATTGGGCTTGTGAGCTGAGCTGTTGGTTGAGTATGGCGTTTTGCTCTCGCAGCGCAGCAATCTGCACCTGAGTCTGAGCTTGAGACTGGGCTTGAGACTGCTGATTCATCAGGTCACCTCCACAAAATTGACCTTGAAGTCCCATAGTCTGCGGGTTCCATTCAAAGTTCCACATCGATTCAGGGACGTTAGGAAAGCGTCCAGGGAACATGGCGATAGTGTCAGGTTGAGTAAGCTAGTCAACAAAAAACTTTAACATGATGCATCCACATGGCATGCACAATTCGTGATAAGGCTCAGAGGCCCTCGGCATTCATTTCACAACCCTGTAGACGGCATAAGTCGTCAACCCCTGAATTACGTGCACAATTGAACCTCGCCAACGACCATAAAAAGAAAGAATCACCACACCTGCAAGTATGTCCTGGCGCCTTTCCAGATCATGTGAAATAATGTGAAATTGTCGAGCTCCGTCCGTACTCTCTTGGGCTCCGTACTCTCTTGTTGTCGCAGCTTCCAGCTATGTAGAGCAAAGTGAATGGCAAAAAAGTGAAGCCCAGTACTGCGGCCAGTTGTTCAACAAATCGACATCGACAGGTGAAGCCAGGAGAAATGGCCAACTGTTTCGCTTTGCTTAGACGAATTATGACGAATTACCAATTCAAAAGTAAAGCACTCAATTTGCTAGATGAATCAACTCTTTCTGATGCAGCTCGATCTTCCTCTGTTGACCGTAGAAAATTCCAGATTGCGACAACAGTGCAGGCATGAAAAGAAATGAAATGCAAATCAAATCGACATGCCGGTTCTTGGCTTGGCCGGTCGCCATTTCTGAACATTGACATCGAAAAATGAAGCAGGTACGTCACGGTGATCAGCCGTGCTATCCGCATGTACTGTGGCCGATTCGTTGGACCATCGCACACAGTACATGGATGGTCCCCCTGCTGGAAGTAAGTTTGTTGTGCAAAATCAAGAAATCAAAAAATCACAAAACGGTTTGAAGTTTTACATCTCTTCAGATGTTCCACACACACACACAATAACCCCGGAAGTATAGATGATGCACATATGTTCACATATAAAAACATATCAATCTCTGAAAACCGTCATCCATGTGAATGCGTTCATGGAGACACCACTATGGGAAATGCAGCGCATATTAGTTTCCTCCTTCCAGGAAATACTTATCATAATTACAAAGTATATTGCGCCCTGAAAGTCACATGATTCGGTTTAATGGTACTTAGTGATTATTTGCCACGAATCGCAGGTGGTTTTTTTGCAAAACAGGTTACCCCCAAGGCCAGTGGTTTATATATCATGTTTTTCCCTTTTTCCATGAAATCATTTAAATCCCAGTACTCTCTGTTATACCTGTTATTTCGACAAGCCTATCTACTGTATCATATTGTAGGACCGTATATCCCATTGTACTCCTTTCATATCATACCCCATTAAAAAGGCGTAATCTGGGATCCAGAAAAGAACATAGCTCTTCAAATATCCACTACGAATCAGGGGGTATGGTATACCAGTAGTACCGCACAAGGCGGTGGCGGAAGTTTCAAAAATAGGAAACCTATAGGAGAGGTTGGTTGTTGTGAATCAGGGATGGCAGAGCGAAGCCACTGATGGACCGAAAGGTGCTTGAGGTCTCCTCTCTTTCTCATTCTTTCTCTGACTATCTACCTACCTACCTACCTACCTATCTATCTATCTATCTATCTATCGATCTATCTATCTATCGATCTATCTATCTATCTATCTATCTATCTATCTATATCTATCTATCTATCTATCTATCTATCTATATCTCTCTCTCTCTTCCATCTAATTACCTATCTATCTATCTATCTATCTCTCTCTCTCTCTCTCCTTCATCCGTCTAGTTGTCTACCTGTCTATCTGTGGTGCAGTGTCATTGAGTGTAATGTAGTGTAGTGTTATGTAGTGTGGTGTAGTGGAGTGTAGTGGAATGTCATGAATGTAGTGTAGTGTAGTGCAATGTAGTGTAGTGTAGTGTAATTTAGTGCAGTGTAATTTAGTGTAGTGGGGTGTAGTTGTGTAGTTGTAGTTGTAGTTGTAGTGTAGTGGAGTGTAGTGTCGTGTAAATTAGTGAAGTGTAGTGGAAGGTAGCGTAGTGTAATGTAATGTAGCGAAGTGTAGTGGAGTGTAGTGTAGTGTAATGTAGTCAAGTGTAGTGTAATTTAGTGTACTGGAGTGTAGTGGAGTGTAGTGGAGTGTAGTTGTGTAGTTGTGTAGTTGTAGTTGTAGTGTTGTGGAGTGCAGTGTAGTGTAATGTAGTGTAGTGGAGTGTAGTGTAGTGTAGTGTAATTTAGTGTAGTGGAGTGTAGTGGAGTGTGGTGGAGTGTAGTTGTGTAGTTGTAGTTGTAGTGTAGTGGAGTGTAGTGTAGTGTAATGTAGTGTAGTGTAGCGTAATTTAGTGTAGTGGAGTGTAGTGGAGTGTAGTTGTGTAGTTGTAGTGGGCTGTGGTGTAGTGAAGTGTAGTGGAAGGTAGTGTAGTGTAGTGTAATGTAGTGTAGTGTAGTGTAGTGTAATTTAGTGTAGTGGAGTGTAGTGGAGTGTAGTGGATGTAGTTGTGTAGTTGTAGTTGTAGTGTAGCGGAGTGTGTAGTGTAATGTAGTGTAGTGTAGTGGAGTGTAGTGTAGTGTAATGTAGTGTAGTGAAGCGAAGCGAAGCGACATCTGAACCTCAAAAAGTGGTCCGAACCCCTAGTGTTTTTAACATTTTGACTTCGAAATGTGCTTCGCGCCACAACGGCGTGCACTTTTCTAAAGTCAACTTCCAAAAGTGGTCCGAGCATGGTGTGTTTTGTACATTTTGACTTCGTAATGTGCTTCGCGCCACAACGGCGTGCACTTTTTCATACTTTTTCTAAAGTCAACCTCCAAAAGTGGTCCGAGCATGGTGTGTTTTGTACATTTTGACTTCGTAATGTGCTTCGCGCCACAACGGCGTGCACTTTTCGACATCGCAACTCCAAAAAGTGGTTCGAAGCTGGTGTGTTTTGTACATTTTGACTTCGAAATGTGCTTCGCGCCACAACGGCGTGCACTTTTTCGACATCTCAACTTCCAAAAGTCGTCCACTCCTGAATGCAATTTTTCATCTCTCATCTGGCCAGCTGCCTCCGCACCCGCCGCTTTAGCGAGCCTACTTTTCGACCCTCCGGAGCCACAAATCATTGGAAAAACACAGTGTTTCGCGACTTTCCTACCCTTTCGCGCATCTGCATCTTCTTTCTTCTTACTCTTTCTCTTCTACTCTTCTTTCTTCTAATCTTCCTCTTCTCTCTGCCTCTTCCCTGCTCTGCTTTTCATCTGTCCATATTGTCAGAAGTTTGACTTCTAAACTTCCTTCGATAAATCACCGTCAGCAGATGTGTACGCAGCGATAAACCCAAGTTGTGGATAACGTCCACATTCCCTAATTAATAACATCTAATAACAACACCCAAAAAACTAGAATCCGTTAAATAACACCAAAAAAGGGTTCTTAGATTTCTTTACATGTCTGCACATGTATCATAATATATATTATAGACGATCCTACACATTTGGGGGGGCTACGCAAGCCGGGGTGACACAACACCTGAAACGAACATCACCAAGGCCCACGGCTTGGCCAACGATGGGTTTTTAGTGTCCCAACCAAACGAGGCGGAAAACGATGGAGGGGCCAGATATGGCCAGATGGGCCAGTTTTGTTGGTTTAAGTTGATGTCTGTTGTTGAAGTTGATGGGCTGAAGTTGATGGGTTTGTGTTTTTTCCGGCATTTTTCGTTCTTTTTGTTGGCGTATGTTTGTTTACAGTGAATCTAGTGAGCATAGGTTCCTGGCGCAAAAGATAATCATGCTGGTAGGCAAGCTCTGCTTGTAGGACCATTTCGAGACACCTTAGGTGTCAAAACATGACTGACATATTCAGGGTCAGGGAAGTGGGTTGTGGGGAACCAAGGGGGGATGAATGCATGGTGAGATCACATGATTTAGATGGACAGTCATTGAAATCATACCATAAATTAGAACAAATATAGATAGATAGGAAGATACACTGTACACAGGTTTCATTTAGAATAGATATTTCATTCACCCCCCATGACAGAAGGAATCCTTGGATGCTGCGGCCAGGAGGGTGCCAGCATCTTAGACCGCGCTCGGTCTGTACAAGTCTTGGGGCAGGCCATTTCCACAGGTTTTTTTGCGTTTCAAGAACTGTCGAGTTAAAGTTGGCTAAGTTGCCTAGCTGCTTGATGATTTCCGTTGGCTAGCGTTGTTCTCAGCCTATTTTGGGATGATTTTCCATATTTCCCCACTTTATCCCACTTGAATGTTTGGGGATGTACTAATACAGCCTCAACCAGGAAAACATATGTTCATTAGCCAATCTGCGGGAATTTCTGGGGAGGTGTACACCTTCTCCGTTTTGGGAAGATCAAAACACAAATCATGAAAGTTGAAGTTGACCTAAAGAAACATGAAAAACCCTTTCACAGTCGGATGAAGTCCTGATTCAAAGATTTGCTTCCTGCAAGCGCCAGACGATGAAGCAGCGGGCCAAGAAGTCTGGGGAAAAAATACGGTTGAAAGATCTGCCAGACTCTTGGTTTCAATCCAAGACAAGGGTTTGCTTCTGGTTAGTTTTTACCACCACCTTTCCAGGGGTCTCTAAGATTTTTTATGATCATATTTCAATTGTTTTTTGCCCGCTCCTCCTCCCAAATACTCATTTTGGCAGCTGTCTCTTGCAACGGACCTCAGCTATATCAGATAAACTGTCGGAAGAGATGTCGAATGATTTGTCGTAATCAATGTCATGACTTATTTTTCAGAATATGTGTCAAATGACATGCCAATACATATGTCAAATGTCAATTCATAGCTTTAATTATTCAAGATTTCCAATTCCAAGCATCTAGTTTCTTGCCATGTCACCAGATTTTGGTTCGGTTCCGGTTCCACCTCATTACCATTCATTACCCTCTGGTAATCTGACATATCTATGGAAGATCACCATATCTTATAGGTAAAACCCTCATATATATGGTACAGTTTCCATAGCTATGGGAAATTGCGAGAGGGTACCAGCAAAGTTTTGTCCCCACACCTTGGTTAAAAAAAGGCCTACTTCCCTGAGGAAGAAATGAAAACCTGGGACCCACCGCCCTTTGACTTCGCGCAGCGTCGGGCCGTTAGAGATGTTGCTTGGGGGGTTGCGGGTGCTTAATGGTGGCATGGTAATTACCCCATCAGTTGGGATATAATAAGCCCTACATTATACAACTATGCTTATATCCAAGTACAACTGGAACTGCGCCTCCGGGTTACATCAAGTTACCATACCAACTAGCCAACTGTACTCGTACGTGGTTTTATTGATTGAACAGGTACATCGGGCAAAACAACGGCAGTTATTGGGATACCATGGACGTGTCATTTTCAATATGCGTTTCCCTCCATATAGGGTGATCCCACTTTGGTGGGTTTACGATGATCTGGGTCTGAAGAACTAGCGCAATTTTCTGTTGTTGTTGTTGTTGTTGCTCTTTTTGTCTGAACCAACATGTTTGTTATTATGTGTCACTTGTAAGTGACAATTTAGCGTGTCAAATATAAAGCATCATCAAATCAATCAGGTGGACCAGTTTTGACCGATACCCATATAGGTATCTATCTCCCTGCTAAGACGCAGGAATGAGGCAAAAACACAATAATTAGGTATGATAAGCATCATCATGGTACCCATAGGACTACCCATACATAGCACATACCCATATACCTTTAGGCATCTATCCACACCTACCCACACCGACCCACACCCATTTTAAATGTTCAAGCCCACAAATCCAGACCGATCCGGGACAATAGTTTGACTGTGGGAAGATGGGACCTATGTTTGCTAGCCATGGCATTACACGGCCAAATGCGTTGGCATCACCGTATCACACCAGTATAGAGTTTGTGATTTTGTTCCTTTCCTCTTGTTGTTTGTGTATGATCTCAAGTCCGGCTCCAACCTTTTTTATATGGGGCTCCTCCAGCCACAATGAGCAAGGTCTCAAGAGCAATTTTCAAGAGATTCTTCAGGAAGAACAAAGGCTGGACCCATCTTGGTCAGAAATCCTGGCAAAAGCTACGCGTTGTGCAGAAGAGTTGTGGCTAGACATGTGAAAAGTTCTAATGAACTACTTCAATAATAGCAGACCATCTGCAATTTACCCAAGTTGGGGATAACAAAGACTAAACACCACATTGGTCAAGATTTTTCCATCAAGAGGTGCAATCGCGTGGGTGTCTCGTTGATCCATCTCTTCTTTCTCCCCCAAGAACGCTGGACTGTACCAGTTTGACAAAATCGTCAAAATCTATGAAGATATCAGATGATATCTGATATCAGGAAATTTCATCAAATTTCAGGGTTTGAAGCCATAGTTTCCTTATATTCTCTCATCATGCGTATGATTCAGCTGCATTTCCCCGGCCAAAGACTTCCAGAATCTTCTAGACAAGTATACAAAACCTGCCAACTGTTGTTCGGGGTGGTTCCCCACTCTTGCAGTTCCTTACACATATAACGTTTATAGTAGTCGAAGGAAGGTTAGAAGTCAAACTTCCGGCAATGTGGACAGATGAAAAGTAGAGATGGGAAGAGTCACAAAAGAGAGAAGGTCAGAGAAGAGAAAGAGTCAGAAGAAAGAAGATGCAGATGCGCGAAAAGGTAGGAAAGTCGCGATTCACTGTGTTTTTCCAATGATTTGTGGCTCCGGAGGGTCGAAAAGTAGGCTCGCTAAAGCGGCGGGTGTGGAGCCATCTGGCCAGGTGAGAGATGAAAAATTGCACGCCGCTGTCGCGCGAAGCACATTTCCAAGTCAAAATGTACAAAACACTAGGGGTGCGGACCACTTTTGGCAGTTGAGATGTCGAAAAAGTGCACGCCGTTGTGGCGCGAAGCACATTTCGAAGTCAAAATGTTAAAAACACGAGGGGTTCGGACCACTTTTGGAGGTTCGGATGTCGAAAAAGTGCATGCCGTTGTGGCGCGAAGCACATTTCGAAGTCAAAATGTTCAAAACACTAGGGCTTCGGACCACTTTTGGAGGTTCAGATGTCGCTTTGCTTCACTACACTACACTACATTACACTACACTACACTCGACTACACAATACACTACAGGACATTACACCACACTACACTCCAGTACACTACATTACACTACACTACACTCCAGTACACTCCACTACGCTCAATTACAGTACACCACTACATTATACTACACTACGCTCCACTACACTACACTACACTACATCACGTTACACTACACTCCACTACACTACATTACGCTATACTACACAATCTTCCACTACACTTCACTACCTTACACTACACTACACTCCATTACACTACAACTACAACTACAACTGCGCAACTACACTCCACTACACTCCACTACACTAAATTACACTACACTACACTACATTACACTACACTACACTACATTCCGCCACACTCCACTACACCACACTACATTGCACAACACTACATTACACTGAATGACACTGCACCACAGATAGACAGGTAGACAGAAAATAAGACTCGAATCAAATTCAATTGGCATTAAATCTGAATCTAATTCCCCCTCTCTGGCTACCGGACTGTTGGGCACGTACTGAAGGAATTTAATTTGAATTTAATTCTTTGGCTTTGCTGTGCTCTGGTGCCTGATCCTTAATTCTTTTTCTATTTTTGTTTCTGAGAGATGTCGGACCAAGAAGTTCGCCGTGGTCGGAAACGGAAGCCATGGGTGCATGTGGCGACGGAATCCTTTTTGGAGAAGGAGACGTTGCGAAAGGGTGCGCAAAGATCGCTTCATGAAAAGAATTCTAGGCACAGCACGCTGACCGCGACTACTTTTGAAGGCGTTGGCGGTTGATTTCTGTTTTCCGGGGGCAGGTTGGTGCACCTATGTTTTGGCGGTAGGTGGGGTCGAATTTGCGGACCCCCGCGGGTCGAGATTCCGCAGCTTGCATTTTTGGAGGAAGTTTGTGTTAACGTTCTTAACAAGTGGATCACGCAGTGGATGCTAGGTTGGGGCGGGGCAGTTGTAACTTTCTTGACAAGGGGATCAAGGTGCGGATGCTAGGTTGGGGTGGGGCAGTGTTAACCTTTCGGGCACGTTGATCACGCAGTGGATGCTACGTTGGGGCTGGGGTGGGTTGGGGTATGTGTAGTAAGAGTTTTTGGGTGAAGAGTCTCTGGGTGAAAAGTATATGGGTGAAAAGTCTGTGCAGTAAGAGTTTCTGGGTGAAGAGTCTCTGTGTGAAAAGTATATGGGTGAAAAGTATATTGGTGAAAAGAATGTGCAAGAAGAGTTTCTGGGTGAAAAGTCTGTGCAATCAGAGTTTCTGGGTGAAGAGTCTCTGGGTGAAAAGTATATGGGTGAAAAGTATATGGGTGAAAAGTATGTGCAAGAAGGGTTTCTGGGTGAACATAGGGATAGATGGGATGCTGGCTTTCGTTCCCCCCTTCTCAGGTTAAAACTTTCTCAATGCTGATTTTGGTATCTATTTCTCGGCTTATTTTTTGAGTGATCTGTTTTCTTTACTTGATCTATCTCTGGACATGTAAAGTCTGACTACCTGTCTGTCTGTCTGTCTGCTTGCCTGCCTGTCTGTCATTGTTGCCTCTCTCTCTGTCTGTCTGGCTGCCTGCCTGCCTGTCTGTCTGTCTGTCTCTGTCTCTGTCTGACTGTCTGTCTGTCTGCCTGTCTGTCTCTCTGTCTTCATATATCTTTGTGTGTCAGTGTCTGTCCGTGTTTCTCTTTGTCTTGGACTCTTTCTGCCAATCTGTCTGTCTTTCTGTTTCTCTGTTTGTCTGTCTGTTTGCTTGGCTGGCTGCTTGGCTCTTTGTCTTTGTGTTTGTCTTCTATCTACCGGTTTGCTTCGCTGCCTGTCTGTCCGTCTGCTTAGCTAGCCAGCTGTCAGCTGTCTGTCTCTCTGTGTTCCTGCCTCGCTGTCTGTGCTGTCAATGTGCATTATCGAGGGTCTGAAATTCCCGTTCGAGAGACTTGCATCGGTTAGAACAATCACTTGGCTTGCCGTACAGGCACGGGAAAATCTTCGATCTGCTTTTGGCGCTTTGGAACCCTTCGGCTGGCCAAAAAGAAGTCCGCAGCACGTTCCAGACAATGCAGTCCATGACAAGAATTAAATTTGAATTTAATTCCTGCTTGAAGGTCAAATGAAGTCAGACACGTTGGAATTAAATTCAAACTGAATTCTTCTTTACATTCGATTCCAAGTTTTTTTGAATCCGATTTTCATGCTCATCCACTGATAGATAGATAGACAGATAGACAGCTAGACAGATAGACCGATGAAAGGGAGAGATAGATAGATAGATAGATAGATAGACAGATAGATAGGTAGATAGATAGGTAGATAGATAGATAGGTAATTAGATGAAAGAGAGAGAGAGAGAGGCCAGCTGGGTAGATGAGATAGATATATAGATAGATAGGTAGATAGATAGATAGGTGGCTAGACAGATAGATAGATAGATCGATCGATCGATAGATACATAGATCGATACATAGAGAGATAGATAGATACATAGAGAGATAGATAGATAGATAGATTGATTGATTGATTGATTGATAAATAGATAGATAGACAGATAGACAGGTAGACAGATAGACAGATAGACAGATAAATAGATAGATAGATGGATAGATAGATAAATAGATAGATACATAGATACATCGACAGATAGAAAGTTAGATAAATAGAAAGATAGATAGATAGATAGAAAGATAGATAGATAGATAGACAGATAGATAGGTAGATAGATAGATAGATAGGTAGGTAGATTGATAAATTGATAGATAGATAGATAGGTAGAAAGAAAGATAGATAGATCGATAGATAAATAGATAGATAGGTAGATAGATAGATAGACAGATAGATAGATAGACAAATAGCTTGAAAAGTAGACAGCTAGATAGGTAGGTAGATAGATAGATAGGGAGATAGATAGACAGACAGATAGGTAGGTCGGTAGATAATCAGAGAAAGATAGAGAAACAGAGAGAAAAAGAGAGAAAGAGAAAGAGTGAAAGAGATCAAACACCTTTCAGTCCATCAGTGGCTTCGCTCTGCCATCCCTGATTCACAACAACCAAGCTCTCCTATAGGTTTCCTATTTTTGAAACTTCCGCCACCGCCTTGTGCCGTACTTCTGGTATGTGTATTAGATATCTTTGTATATCTAATATATAGAGGATCACACAGAGTGTGTATATATATATCAGTATAACTATATGATATAATATAAAGATATATCTGATAAATGTGTATATATATATAAACATTATTTATATGATATATAGTACTTTATCAGTATCACAATGTTTTACATGTTTTAACAACTCTTCGTCGCGAGGTATCTCCAAGAGATCACCGATCTTCCCAAGCGATGCGCGATGATCACTGCCAGGGTCCAGGCTGGTCCAGGACGGTAGCTGGGTAAAATCCCTCATTTTTTCATGGTAAAACATGGCACAACTCTATTTTCCCGGATCTATCATGGTCATATTTATATATACATATGATATTGTGTGTGTGTATGTATATCTATATATATATGTATGTATATATGTGCGTGTCTGTGTGCATACATATTGGAAGTATACCTCAGTTTCAGACAGACCCAATTTTTGTTGGCCCAGGAATCACAAGAACCATCCCATTTCTCACCCGAAATGGGTACAAAATTTTCGAGCAGCCAAGGGCATGACATGTTGGGCATAGGTGATCTTTGAGCCAGAGATTTATAGATTTTAGCGGGCCTTCTCACGGCTTAAAATATGGGTTTCAGTGGGCATTCATGCCAACTAGCAGGTCCTTAACCCTTATATAAAGAAGGATCTTTTGATTTCGGGTGAGGCCAGTCCGTTAGGGTCTGTCCAACGACTCTCGGGGACTTCAATCAATATATGCACGGTTTGACCCGCACCGGCAACCCATTTTTCCTCATGTCTCACTTGACACTGGCAATGGTAGGGTCGACTTGTGCAGACTTTGGGCCACGTGTTTGTTCACTTTGTTTCAATATAAATTGAGAATGCATGAGAATGCGTTTGCCAGAAATGGGTTTGAAGTCCACCAATTTGTTCTTTTGGTGAATTGGCAGAATTGTCCCCATAGGCACACCACAGCCTCACTTGATGGCCCCTGCACAGTGATTCCCAGTCTGAGGCGACCTGCCAGGAATTGGTGGTTCACTGAAGGGTTTGCCATACGCCTGGAGTACTTGCAAACATTTGCTGGGTAAACAGAAAAAATACAGTACAACAAAGACCAGCATTGTTTGGCGGTTAGTAACATTGGTTGTTCTTTTCCAACCATGAATCCATGAGGAATAGTGGTTATGATATATGAATATAGTTGTTTAATTAACTCTTTATCCATGATGAAGTGGTTTTTTCATAGTGATTTGACAGGCTTACATGTTGGGGGATGGGTTGCAGCCGCAGTGAGTTCCCATTAGCCCACCGGTGGCCCACCGGGTCACAGGCGGAACAGCCTGATATCATCACCTTCCAGGAATATGACATGTAAAATCCTCAGCACTTTGGGCACTTTGCAGGGGAAAAACTACGGTTATTATTAACTATGATTATTCGCTATGGTTAATAACCATGGTTATAATAATAGTAACCACAATAGTACGTAACAGCTAGTAACCATAGTTAATGAATAGTCGAGAAAAAACATAGTTACTAACCATAATTAATGACCATAGTATTTTTTGAGGTAAAGAACTGACATTCCCAGGTGTTCCACTACTTGAGGATGTCCAACAATGGTGTGTTCTAGCCTTTTTTTGTGGCTATTTTGTTTGGTGAAAAAAGATGGGGAAGATGATGACTGATTTTCAGAGAAATTTATTTATCATAGCCAAGGTTCTTTGGGTGAATAGAAGTGGTGGATGTTGGCTGATCTCATTTGAGGGTTGATACTCTGACCTGCGAAAAGGTATCCAAAGCGGAACTGCGTCCTGAACTGTGTAGGGCATAGATCTTATGTTGGTGGTAGTTATTTTCGAAAAACGAGGTTGTTCATTGACCAAAGCAATCCCTTCCCTGTAACATGAATCCTTCTAGAGATTACATAACCCCTACCGTTGTTTTCCAAACCCGTGATATATTTCCATTCACATTGATTGCAGTGCCCTCTGTTGTAATTCATCCCATATCGTCCTATCTTCATGTGATGTTTTTTTAAAAAATTGTCTCCTCTTTGGGAAAGCGATCCTTTTCGTTGATGCATAGTTTTGAAATGTTTTGAATGAGCTGAAGTCACCAGCCAGAAATATGATGGTCAAACACAATTGAAAAAACCATGTTTATAACATCCCCAGAATGTCTCAGAAATGGTCTCCAGGTTCGAAACGCTGAATCCATTGTTGGAGGCTGCTGGGGAGATGTTTGCTAGGTGAACAATATGGCCGAAATTGGGTTTGATGAATGTTTTCTAGGGCCTAGGTTAATTCCAAATAAACTTAGATACACTTAGATCATAGAACCCACACACTCAGAAATCTCAGAACAACTACTGTGCTGATATGAATTATTCATTCAGATGGTAAACCCAATTCATACATGTCATAAACCTACCAGTTGGGGACGATTTTTCATGGTAAGTCATCGTGGATGGTTGTGGTTAATGCTGAGTTTACCACATTGGTCATCCTGAAGTAAAACCGAGCATTCCTCAGGTCTCGGCAGGAACTGTGGCCCCATTGTGAAAGCTATGCCAGCTATCCCACCCAATTGGAACCGCCAGTTCCAAGTGCATAATGTGTACTTCAAATCCCAGTGAAGTGAGTTATGTACCTATCCAGGGGGTCACTTCTTGCAACTTCACCAGACTTTTGATGCATCCCAAAAGACCACCCACAATCGGATGGTCTGCCAACAATGGGGAGATGGCCAGAAGAATATGCCGAATATGCTCAACAACGATAAACCATTATTTTTCTTCGCAACCGCCTGGAAGCAAAGAAAACGATCATGTGCGTTTAACAATGAAGAATGAGTAGAATGCACATTAAAAAGACTGGCTAAACCATAAATCCGAGATAATCAGATGGAACATATTTTCTCAGGCGCCGAGCTGCTCCGTTGTCGAAGGCAGCCGGCTACAGCGCAGGGTCCGACCAAGGCAGCTACCAAGAACTGGCGCAAAGGCTGGGGAAAAGGATGGCAACCTTTAGGAAAAGCCTCACCAGAAATGGTTTTGTCTGAAAATGATGGTAGCCCCAAAATCCAATGGTTAATCAACGTTAATCATATTTTTCTCATTAAACCAATCATTTTAGGTATGCCCCATTTCTAGACAAACGCAAATGAGCAGCTTCACAAACCCACGGTTTATCATCAATATTGGGGTTCTAGGTTTCCAGGAACTTGTTAAAAAGAGATCATTACAACCCATTAAAATCCATTGGAATAGCCACAAGGAAACCGAACCAGTTCGCAGCCAGGTTTTTGACGCTGCTCAAATGATGACAAAGTAAGGGAAACCAACCCGAAAGAGTGCTTCTCAAATTATTAAGATATTTGTTCAGATATATGAATGCAATCATGGAAAGATAGCACTCAAGCAAAAACAAGTGGGGGATTGAGAAATCGAATCAAAAAAGGGGAGTCTTTAACCGAAGATAAGTGACGAATGAATCAAAAGTCCGCTCAACCAGATTGTGGTCATTTTTATTCGGCAGCGATTCGTGGCAAGATGTGGCAAGTGTTGGTGACCATTTTTTGGCCAAAACCTGTAGACATCGGATGCATCTTGTTGTTCTTAGGATTACAGGGTGAATTTTGAGACATTCCTCATACAATATGTGCAAGAAAGATTTCTGAAGTTCTCTTGCATGAGTTACCCTCTGGTAAACTAACATAACTAGGGAAAATGGAACATGGCCCAATGGCCCGGCGGTGATTTACCCAGCATTTTAAATGGTGATTTTCCAGTTCGCTATGGCAGCTATGTTTGTCATTACCAGAGGGTACAGGCTTGGCATGGCTTGGCAATCTCAGCACATGTTACTGCTGGGATGATCGGCCTGCCGTGTTTTTTGGGTTGTGAAATTGTTCCTGTTGCAAAAGGCCAAAAAAGCATCCTGTAGCCATTTGCAGCCATAGGGCCATAGGCTTATGAAGCATTTTTTCTGGAATTTCGGGGTTATATCGCCCCGAAAGCTCGGTAAGAACCAGCGCCATTACAGTACGTCATTTCAAAAATATCAGCCCAGGATTGATAAATTCCTGCGATCCTGAAGTGGGTGGGGGGCTACATCAGATTGGTAACTTGAGTTCATGTCTCACTTTTGAGGTGCTCATCCAATGAAGCAAGACAAGCCAATTATAACGCGCCGCCAGCCTCAGCGCAGGGTGAAAGATCTGGGTATTCAACTGAAGAAGGGCGGAGGCGCAGCTGCCATAGTCCTGTCTGGGAGATCATAATGTCATATCAAATACTCCACAATTTTGAGGGATCCAAACATGAATAGATCCAGTATTGAACCAGGGGTTCTGAGGGGCCTGAGGGGGTCTTTGATACTAGGTTAGGGGGAAGGATAGGTATCCAATTCCGTGGGATATTGAATTCCTACACCCATATCAAAACAACAGCAAACCAGCGACCCCAAACAGCTATGTACATGTAGGATTTGTCATGAATTTTATCTACTTACCAACAGTACTCGTACCGCACAAGGCGGTGGCGGAAGTTTCAAAAATAGGAAACCTATAGGAGAGGGTGGTTGTTGTGAATCACGATGGCAGAGTGAATCCACTGATGGACCGACAGGTGGTTGGAGGTGTGTTTTTTGGAATGGTTGCAATGGTTGCAGTGGTCACCTTACCACAACTGCTGGATGTAGTGTGGTGTAGTGCAGTTGTAGTTGCAGTTGTAGCTGTAGTTGTAGTGTAGTGGAGCTGTAGTTGTAATGTAGTGTAATTAGTGTAGTTGCAAGCGCAGTTGCAGTTGTAGTCGTGGTGTGGTGTAATTAGTGTAGTGTAGTGCAGCGTAATGTCGTGTAGTGGTGTGTATTGTAGTGTGGTATAGTGTAGTGTAGTCTAGTGAAAGGTACTGTAGCTGTAGTTGTAGTGTAGTGCAGTCTAATTAGTGTAGTGTAGTGTAGCGCAGTGGCGCGCAGTGTAGCGTAGCGTAGTGTAGTGTAGTCCTGTGTAGTGTAGCGTAGTCTAGTGTAGCGTAGTGTAGTGTAGCGTAGTGTAGTGTAGTGTAGGTAGTGTCGTGTCATGTCGTGTAGCGTAGTGTAGTGTAGTGTAGTTGTGGTAGTAGTTGTACTTGTTGTAGCTGTTAAAGTAATTGGCGTCATGTGGTGTAGTTAGATGTAAATAGTGTAGTGTAGTGTAATTAGTGTGGTGTAATGTAGCGTAGTATATTTGTATTTGTACTTGTGGCAGTAGTGTAGTGTAGTGGTAGTTGTAATTGTCTATCTATCTATCTGTCTGTCTGTCTGTCTGTCTGTCTGTTTGTCTGCTTGTCTGCCTGTCTGCCTGTCCTGTCTGTCTGTCTGTCTGTCTGTCTGTCTGTTTATCTGTAAGCTTGAAAACGCAGCAATTTTGCGAGACTTCCTCAATTTTTGAACTTGGCAACATCCAAAACGAAGCAATTTTGCGAGACTTCCTCAATTTTTGAATTTGACAACATCAAAAACGAAGCAATTCTGCGAGACTTCCTTCAAAAATGGAAAGTTGAGTGCAGAGCTGACGGCCTCGTACCAATGCATTTTCCGATTTTCCCAGTCCATGCCTCTTAAAGTTTTGCGCCTGCCACGAAAAATTGATGCCAGGTCATAGGAAGTGTTGCACCTGTCACGCAAAATCATTTTCCCAAAACTGAAGATCTGATGCTCCAAAATGCAACCCCTCTCAGGAAATCAGCGCCCTGACCTTTTAACATCTCTGATGAATATCTCTCTTGTATTGCGCCTGCCACGCGAAATGCATCTTTGCAGATCCTCTTCAAATTTCCCACACCTACCATCGCTTTTGGGACTGCTACAAAACCTTCACATTTTGCTCACTTCCGGCAGGGTGGAGAATCCCTTGTGTTTGGCACAGAAAACGACGCTTCAACATCCAAAAGCGGCGCGAACATGTGGTGCTTTGTACATTTTGACTTCGAAATGTGCTTCGCGCCACAACAGTGTACACTTGTTGAACATCTTAACTTCCAAAAGTGCTCCGAGGCTGCGGTGTTTTGTGCATTTTGATTGCAAATGTGCTTCGCGCCACAACGGCGTGCACCTGTTCATCATCTCAACTTCCAAAAGCGGTCCGAACGTGAGGTGCTTTCTACATTTGACTTCCAAATGTGCTTCGCGCCACAACGGCGCGCAATGTTCATCTCCCATCTGGCCAGCTTGCTCCGCACCCGTCGCTTTAGCGAGCCTACTTTTCGACCCTCCGGAGCCACAAATCATTGGAACAAAAACGCAGTGACTGGCGACTTTCCTACCTTTTCGCGCACCCGGATCTTCTTTCTTCTGAGACTTTCTCTTTTTTGGTTTTTTTTTTCTCTTCTCTTCTCTTCTCTTCTCTGACTCATCCCATCTCTCCTTTTCATCTGTCCATATTGTCAGAAGTTTGACTTCTAAATTTCCTTCGAACAGCGCTTCACAAACAACATTTTCTGCGTGATGTTTGCAGCGCAAGACAGTGTAAGAGTAAGTGCCTGATAGTCAACTTTGCGTCCCTCAATGTGCTGACCACCCTGTCCCCCCTTCGCCAACATCCTGTTACAAGTGATTGCTAAGACTCACAACAAAGCTGATGGGGATTCAATCAGCCCCCCGGGCTTCTCAAGGGCCTATTAACCACCAACAACCACTAACAAGATCTTCTTAATCATCTATTATTAAGGGCGTATGACTTCTAATCATCTATTAGCCTATTAGCCGCCAGAAACCATTCACAGATTCTTTGTTGTCTGCCTCATGTGAGTACAAAGGCAAGGTGGACAGACTGTTTCTGTTCCTTGCCTGATGCATGTCTATGCACATTTACAGAATAGATACAGAAACAAACAAAAACACATACGCATATCATATCATAGTACACATACAAGTATACATAATATCTACATATATAATCATATATAATCATATATATATGTATACATCATGTCTCCAAACATCTCCAGACATGTCATCTATAATCTACACATTTATATAGTATACATAATAATAAATATATCTACAGATACATCAACGGTCCAGTTGGTCCCAGGCGGTTCACCCAAAGACTTTGCGCAGAAATATCGTGAGCTGTTGGAGGAATACGCTGCCAAGGCCAGTTGTCGTTCCGCTTGGGGAATCAACATAGATCTTTATTGATGATATATATATATATATATATAATGGGTGATATTTGAATATAGATATATGATTCTAGGTTCTAGATATGATTGAATTTGCATATTTTCGTACTGGTGAATAACATGTGTGTATATATATATAATTATATTTATATGGGGTATGTTTATTTATTTATATATATAGTGGTGAAATTTCAATATAACATAATATGTGGTTCTAGATTTTCAAAAACATATTTGCATCTTTGAATATATTTTCTTATGGGTGATGTGTATCTGAATATTGGTATTATTGGATTTTTTTGATACCATTTGAAGGATATGGGTGTATATATGGTCAACATATTCATACATGTGACATTTCAATTCAATCAAATTTTGGGGATTGATCCAAAATATTTTAAGATCTTCAATGTCTCGAAAGAGTTTGCCGGTTTTTCAAGGGTTTGTGATCTTGACGATCGTGTGTTTTTCCAAAGACATGTTCTCACAAGAACTCAAACGAAAGGGTTTGTTTGAAAATAGGGTAACAAGTTTGATGGTTTGCCCTACTTCAACTGTGATTTTGGGTACCGAGATACCCCATTTCAGACACAAAAAAATGATGTACATCATTGGTACATGTTTTCACAGGTCCAAACAAATCCCTCCCATGTGACGCCGCACGGCAGGGACTGTGTGTTTGCCCTAATTTCAATTCCACCGCGTGGCGCTTGGCATGTTGCCGTGTTGCCGTGAGGTCGTCAAAATAAGACCCAGAATCAATGAGAAATATCCTCGGGTCAAACGTGGCTGACGTGGTTCCCTATAAATGGAGTTTTATAGCTGGGAAAATCAACGAACTAAATGGGAGATTTTCTAGCGAACCACTTATTATTACCGGATGGTATCCCTTTTAAAGAAACATCTTCATCAATTCTTGGTTGGTTAAATTGTCCATTATTCATATATATATTCACATTAAATGGTAATCATCAAATATTTCAAAATAAAAAAACTGGGAAGTATCCCATCCATTGTTGATTGCATATGATATATGGCCCAATTATATCCCATGTGTCAATGGTTAGACATTGAACTTACCCCAATGTTCAAAATTGTTTAAGCATATTTATCAACTATTGGTTGGTTTTGTATCCATTGTATCCCAATGATATTCCCATTCAATGGTCAGGAACCTGCGATTCCTTCGGCTCACTCAAGAAACGTTTATTTTTTTTGGGTTGGCCAGAAAACTGGTGCGTCACAAGATTTGGCAATTTTTAGGCGGTTCAATCTCTAGGGTCTATTTTTTTGGATGCACCTCAAATCCCAATGCGGATTACCACAAAATGTTCTCAGGATTGGACGAACGCCATGAGGGCTTCATGACCTGGTACATATAATATACTCAGGACTCTAATAACAAAGTGTGATCATTATATATATATATATCAATTGTCATTATAGTATACCTAAATTTGCACATTATCCCAAAATGGCCTTGGTTCAGGTCAGTGATTATGCACTATGTATTATTGTGATTTACCCAGAGAAATTGACATCCCATTGACCTTTCCATAAAATCACCATTGAATACCAGAAGTGTCCCATTGATTGTGCTCTAATTTGAGTGTGAAATTTATTGTGGCCAGGCGTCGCTTCAACCCTGATGGTTTCGATGATGGCGTGGCCATCTACTGGAAAACTTCAACGTTGAAGGCCGGAGACTCCACCCGTTGAAGATTCAACGTTGCTGGGAATGATATATCATATATATCTGGGTAAATTTCATCACGACCTCACTGTTCTCCCGAGCCCTGGAATCATGGTTTATTTTAGGGAAATCATCCAAATGGCCGAACTATTCAGGTTAGTGAAATATTATAATTTACCCAGCATCATGTAGTGAGCCATTAAAAATACCCTGGTTAATTGATTGCTACAGGGGGTTATACTACCTGGTTTTTTGGGGATTATGATAACCCATAGTAGGGAAACCTATCAACCAACTAGTATAATGAGATGGGTTCTGCAAATTAAGAGATCCTCAAGTCACCATGGGTTTCTATATGTTTCAATTCTCAAACGGTCTAATGACTTGGATGATTTGGGGGTGCTCCCATTTTAAGAAACCTCCGTATGGTGGTATACCCTCTCGAAAACAAACATGGCTATGGAAAATCACCATGATTGGTAAAACATCGAACTAAATGGTCCATTTTCCATAGCTGTGTTAATTTCCAGAGGGTAGATTTTTTGTAAATGATTGATGATGATGTACGATTCTAACAAGTAGTGTACCAGTTGTACCAGCTATAGATATGGAGTATAATAGAGTAAATGGATATGGTACACTGGCTATGCCAAGTCCAAGATTCTGGGGCAGCCCCGGATCACCCGAAAAAAAAAGGTGAAACAGAGCAGAATCCTGGGTGATGATCAACCCATGATGTCGATAGGTCTCAAAATGGAAAACTGTCTACCTCCAAACAGTTTATACTATACTACTGATGAGGAAAATCATGATGAAGCATCAAAATTCGGGGGTACTATTTGTCAGACAAATCTATGTGGTTGGTGGTTAGCAGTCTGGGATTCAAAATGTTTGCAACCGCTAAAGCCCAGAGATCACCCCAAACATGGGTTTTGTTTGATCCAGAAGTCACCAAACATGATTTCGCTGCCAAGATTTGTATGTCATTGAAGTGTTGATTTTACCAAGCAAAATTCTGAGATCTCACCCAGAGCCCCAAATCACCTAAAACATGTCATGTTTATTTGGAAAACAACTGGTATAAGAACCCCTCGAACGAATCCAATCCGAGTCCCGTGAGCCTCCTGACGTTTGGACCTACGCAGGGATGCTCAATGCGCAAAAGGGTTGAACTGAAACCACCGACTCCTTTGTTGAAGTATCTGGGTATACCCGGTATACCCTCATCATTCCCCATTAATGATATGAATGGCAATTTCAATAGAGAAACTATGGAAAACTTGTGATTCATCATCAAAATATCATCAATGTTGCGGGTTTTCCACTAAAATTCAGACAGGGCCAGGAATAAGCGAGCATTAGTTGGGGAAGTGCTACACATCACAGTGTTAGGATGGTTTTTATAATGGGTAACTAATGGGAATATTATGGGTATGTAATAATGTGGACTTCCAATCAACAAAATATGTGATATGTTGAAGATAGTTCGGATTATCTGGAGAAAATATGTTGCGACTTCATCACTGGTGTGATGGAAATTGGACTTGGACAACTACCCCAAAATAGCCGAATTCGTTTCGGTTGGTGAATATGTATCCAAATAGTTGCATATACCCTCTGGTAAATCAACATAACTATTGAAAATCACAATTTTTAATAGGTAAATCATCCATAAATGGCCATTTTCAATAGCTATGTTACTACCAGAGGGTAGTACTATATCAAGATATTACATTTGATTGCCAAGATTTCATGGCTGATATGGGGATGCATCGAAACCTGTGATACCTTGGGGAACATCCACAAGCTGTTTGGTCATTGACGAAGGCAGGGGTATTTCATTATCCTGTCACTGATACCAAACCCATTTTGAATTCTTTTGAGTTACCATCTGGTTATTTGACATAGCTATGGAAGCCATGACCCATTTATATAAATGTAGTTCGATAATTTACCTATTAAATGTGTAATTTTCCATGGCTATTAACTGTACAGCCCCAAAATTGAACATGGAACAGCATCAAGGACTCCATCAAGGGCGATACACCCAATGAAATCAATCTCATACCCACCTTTTTCAGGTTCCGTGTGCAAAACATGTGACCTCCACAATAGATCGGGAAAAAGAATTGACAGTATAAAATATCTAATAGTGGTTGTTGATGGTTAATGAATGTTCAGTACAGCCATGTCGAATTAGTATGAATTAGTTATCTAAGTTATCTCATATGTACAGGGTTCAAATCCCTATCGGCGGTTAATACACCCTCAGTAGACCCTTAATAAAACCTTGTCAGTGCCTCCCAGTGCCACCCGCATACCCAGGACATGACGGGTGATGCCCCGGCCATTCGAGTGCGGCTTGGCAGTTTTGGCAAGGGCTTAGCACGGGATGGTTTAGTATTTGAGATGGTTTAATACGTTCAAGGATGTCTTTGACAATGCTATAATGGATGTCTTTCATTGTTCTGGATTCCCGGTCTATAGCAATTTCCAGAAAGGTAGAAGAGGCCATTTTTGCCACATGTTACCACTTTTACTACCCAATCTTCCTCCTTTTAGCCACCAGCACATCTTGGAGAAGCGGGAGACTGATTTTCTCAGACATGGCACGGAAGGTGATACCATATTTTCAACCCACGGATTCTTCTTCATGAACTGAACGATTTTCTGGTGTTTCTTTCCAATTGGCAAAACAGATACTCATACTCTAGATATCTCAAACAGTATTACATACAGTATGGGGTAGCTGATCTCACAAGCCAACACTATTTTCGAAGGCCCCCAGATGATCGAGGGGCCGTCTCCAAGGAAGCTGCAGCACAACAGTGGGTCCCCCCTGGATGTCATGACGTTGCACCTTCCAAGCAGTCCAGGGAAGGCGACGGCAGATCAGTTTGGCAAAAACTCATTGATGGTCACCCTTCAGCATTCAAAGATGGCAATTGGATATCCTCTGTAAATGAAGGTTTTAGTGGGAAAATTAACTATTCTCCATTGCTATCATCCCTGCCCTCTTAAATACCAAAATCCACCGAATGTTAAGTGTACGCAATAGATGATTGAAACTCAGTGTAGTCAGATGATTGGAATGCTGTTTGACTCAAGGCCCTTGCTCCACCCTACTGTAGATTTCACAGTTTTGTGTGTCTTATGCGTTTGTCTGTCCAGCATCCATTCGTTGCTTTGTGTGCATGACTGCTTTCACGTTGTGTCTCAAGATTTGGCCATAGATGCCATGGCATTCACAGTCTTCACTCCCCAGTGCAGCAGGGGTGGATACCCAGATGTATAAGTATCATGAAGTAAAAACAGACGCGACTTGTTTGTTTAGCCATGAATATTGTGGGAAACAGCACTCAAGCTTATGTTCGAAAGAGCATCTAGAATCTACGCGTTTTGTTGGTGGGAATTATTTCCCGAAACGATGCTTCTAATGATCCTATCAATACGAGGTATGATCAGAATCAGCGTAGACCATTTGTGAAAAAGGGAGCAGACCTATGAAACATTGTAAAACGATAGGACACTCTCAACTTATGAATTTTCTGGTTTCGCCTTCTTCTCCCATCTCTTGTCCATTTAGTGTCCTTTCGTTTCGCTTTCTGTTGCTCTTTTTCCGCCATGTATTTTTTCATGTTCATTCTTTTCCTTTGTTGTTTTCCTTTTCCTTTCTTGTTCCTTCTTTTGTCTTTATTAATTTGTCCGTTTGTTTTTGTCTTGTTCTTTTCCTTCCTTTTGAGTTTTATGTTCATTCTGCTTTCCCTTCTTTTATGTTTATTCTTTCTTGTCGTTGCTATTTTATAGATCAACCAGGCGCACAAGATTGGCTATGACCCTAGCAATAACCTTGCGACAACCTCTTGTTCAAAAAGGGCCCTCGGACCAGGGATAGACCCATTCGATCCCATTCGACCCATTTGTCTCTTTTCCTAAAGTGACTCAGCCATTTGCCCCCTGTTGTAGCTATGCCCTAAAGTGCTGCGGACAAAAAAGGAAATAACAAGTTTCAGCGAGAGGCAAAGAAACGAAAGAGAAAGGCGGACTATCACGAGAACATGGAGGTATAAAAGAAAAAAACAAGGAAAGAAAAGGGACACACAAGGAGAACAAAGGAAACAGAAAAAGACAAGAATAAAAAGAGAGAGAGCATGTGGAAAAGCAAGTCTCTTGCTTTCAACGCAACCACTGGAACGACACATGAACATGTGCTCGACATTACCCATCCTCTCCTACTTGATTGAGTTTCTGCGGGTGTGTTTCCTTTAGTTCTTTATTCATTGAATATCATTGAATGTTTTTGATTCATTCATGTTCTGTTTTACAACATATCAGCGTGAGAAATGAGAATAATTGTGGGCTTGGTTTGTGGACCCATGCCAAACACACGGCAGCCAGCATGGGATTACGTGGGTTGGAGATAGGGACGCATTCCGAAAACACAGGAATTCAAGAGTTTTCGGGAGATTTGGGATCAAAGCTTGGAACACAGCCATAGAGTGATCGCCAAATTTGGTGGGCTTCATCCAATTTTTTGCGGGTGAAACATGCCATTTGTCACTGGCCAGATTCACCAAACCATCGCATTCACGATCCCTGCAGGAACTTCGACGACAATTGAACTTGTGGCAACTTCATGACTGGGAAGCTGCAAGTGTGGCCAAGTGATGTCAAGTGTCAAGTCTCGTGATTTTAAGGGAATTTTGGAGGGTCAATTGAATCCAAGTGATTTCCTGGATAATTACATACATTGGATACCTAGCAAAGGATTTCGCAAGCCCTAAAAATTGTGTAAAGATTTGCGCACACAAATGAGTAAAATGGGTCCCAGTCCCAGTACATTCCTTCATATTGAACCCTCATAGTAGAACAACCAAGGATTTTGGTATTTTGTGGGACATTACCCATCAACTCTTGATTCTCGCTACCAGCCAGAGCATGTTGACGCAGTTGTTGCTAGCTTTTTTTTACATTGTGTGTGCATCCTTCGCAGCAAACTTTCCGGACTTCTGGATGAAGCAGCAGCCGGCCAAACTGGTCATAGGATATCCCCCAACATGACCTCAGCCAGAGGAATACTTTGTTGAAACATGTTGAAACCAGCAGCCAGCGGTTAAACAACGATGCGGGGGCACTATGATTGCTGTTTCTGCCTGACATCATGCTGCAGCAATCTTGGGGTGAACTCCCTACCAGATCAATTCGTTGGTTGCAGTATATCTCGATGTTGCTGGGAAGATTCAAACAGTTGGTTCCACGGTTGCCCAACTATTAAATAGTTGTCACAGCAATCTCAGACGACCTACATGCCTGGATTGGGGATACAAGGCAACAAGGGCTTCACCGTACCGTCTCCAGACGATTGCTTCTTGGAAAGAATCTCCTAATGGCATCCAGTGGCAGTATCCACAGGTATAGTAATGATTAGTAATGTATTGCGAATTAGCTTATTATTGACGGCTATAAACCACTGATGGATTTCCGATATTCATCGACAGATGGGGGGCCTCCCTGAAATCCACTTGGCTTGACAGAACCAGGTTGCGACATCCCCATGCTGCTGAAATCTCCAATTTGAGTGGAGTATCTTGACATTTTTTTCAGACAAGTAACAACACCAATTTTGTTGGCAACATGTTGATGTTTGTTGGTTCAATCCCACCTTTAACGGTCAAAACTCCTGTTCATGTTGGTCAAGTTCCTTTGTTTCTTATGGATGTTATAGTATGTCATAGTATGTTGTAGTATGTCATAGTATGTTATAGTATGTTATGGTTAGATCCACACTTTTCTTGGTTAAATTTGAATGTTTTCTTGGTGTGTTTTTTGTTGGTGTCCAGCTCCTTGCAGGAGCTTCTGGGTGGCGCCCTGGCCGACGGTCCGCCTCTGATCCTGGCCGTGGACGGGAGTCGTTGATGTCGAGCCGCTGAGGTCAGCCATGATACCCAAAAGCCTCAGCAAAACAACGGTACATATGGCTTTGCCTGGAAATTCAACAAGAAATATGGACGCCATGGAATCTAATAGAATGTTTATTTTCAAGATGGACACCATTTTCGATACCTATTGTGTGAGGTTCCAGGTTCGTTTTCAGCATATCTGACGGATGTAATGGCGCGAAATCAATCGAAATCATCATCCATGACCTGATTTCGGTTTGGAGCGCGCGGATTGCCCAGAATGATGAAATCAACACAGATTGGATCAATGAATACCTCAATTTTATGTGATGGATCAATGAATGACAAAATGTCAAGTTAGCTACATGACACATCAATACACACATGCCAACCAAATTGACTCCAAAGAAGGGGTTTGGAGGATGTTTGTTTTCTCTCGGAAATAGTCACATGGAAATGTCGCTATGACAACTCTGATCCAAACTTTCGCAGGACCTCAACAGCGATGCCCATTTGCAGCCTCCCTTGGGACAAGACGCGAAAGTGGATCTGGATGGGGTACATGGAGTGTTTTCAGAGGCGTTGTCTGAAGATAGGATAAGATAGGGTATTTTAGTGGTATTTGGCCCAATTCATCCCAATTCCAATGGATGATCCTTGTTTTCCCATGGTCATAACATGTCATAACTGGTGGGGTATACCCCAATTTCAGGTGAGCCGTATGATGACTATTGATTAATAAACATTAAACAAAATGCAGCGCTGACTTCATGCTGCTAGACATCTCTGGATCATCACGGCATCAGGATTTTGATATGGTCGTATCGATCAGCATCGATCAGCCAAAGTTCCAGGACATGTCTCTTCAAATCCATATGGATAAATCAAGTTAGTCAAGTTGTTCAATTTTCATAGATAAAGACGAAGACATCTTTTTAGGAAAGGGCTACAATCATGTTTTGGAATTCTAACTGTTGACACTGACACATTCATAGGGGTTCGAAAAAAGATAGATGAGCTATTCCTTGCTGTCTTCATGGTGCTTTGAATGTCCATATCATGTTGGGACCACTACAGTATATAACAATTACAGCAGTGGCCATTGAGCTTCTGACAGACTACAAAAGATCCTCAGTTCCCAGTAAAATCCTAAGGTTGACTTGGTATGGATAAGGACGCAAGAATTTAATGTCGGAAACTTGTTGCCAAAATGTTGGAGTGGGAGCCAAGTATGTGGACCCTGTTGGAACCTCGAATTTTGGGTGGGAGCAATTTTGGAGCCTGGGTTTAGTATTGGAAGCTTCAGGGATTTGCCACCGGATTCATTGCTCGACTGTGTTCACACATGGTATTTGCAATTTTGACTATTTGCATTACTGTGTATTACTGTTTTCTGTCCCATTTGTTCTTCTTTGTCATGATTTCAGTTCTATGAAGATTGAAATTGAGATAGAATCACGACGACCCACCCCATGCTCTGTTCCGTTTAGCATGTATCTTGATTTAAAACCCATTGTTGCTGGTCATTTCAGTTGCATCCCGGATTTTGCAACGGAGGTGCAGGTCATAGCAGAGGATGGCAGTAGTGAAAAGGCTGGAAAGGGAAAGTGGCGATGTTTATAACAGACCAACAGTGGGTGAGTTCATGTGTGAAATGTCAATGGATCAGAAAAAAAGGGAAAATTCACAGGAACCCACTGAACCCACCATAGATTCATTGATTTCATTGGAAACACCATGGTGCTAAGATTTTCTGTTACTGGGATTCCACTTGGACGACTGGAAAGAAATCCGCTTGTGATTTCATGGGGACGACCTACCTTGTGTCCTCCTTTTGAATGGCAAAACATGGGCTATGAATGACCAGCAAAAGTGGGATACAAAAACCAACCAAAATGGGAAGATGATTTCGTGGGATTTCGTGGGATTATAGCTGATACATCAGGTAATGCCTCCAAAGGTTACCCCCAATAATGTTTAAGCGTTTGTGCTTCAGGCTCATGAACGATCAGGAACCACTCTATCCTCTATTTCTGGAGGTCACTCTTGGGTGGTTGTTGAGTCCCCTGTCGTGTAGCAAGCAAGATTGGTATAACCAGCAAAGATAGTGGATACAGTCTTCCTTATCGCTTGCACATGGAAGAACAAGCAGGGTGATGCATTTCATCTTAGTTCAAATTATGTGTTCTTTTTCTATTTGTTTATGTTCTTTGTTAGGTTCTTACCTTCTCTGACCCCCAATATAGTTTCTGTTATATTGTCTTGTCATGTCTTATCTCTTCTTATTCTTCTTGAACAACTTATCTTCTTTATTCCGTCTATTCTATCGATTTGTTCATCCTTTCTATTCTATGATTGTTTATCATTTATTTATCTATCTTATTCCCACTCTTTATGATTTGCTCTATGAGCTTATCCTTTAAAATATAAGCTGCGCGAACTGTGTCGGGTGCAGGTGGAATTTCAGCTGGATCAGCCACTACGTACCTTGGAATCATCGCTCAACATGGTAATACCATGGAATACCAATAACATACCACCTGAGATTTTACCGTTTGGGGAGTTTTGATCCGATTTTCCTGACATTCCAAAACTCTGAGTTCGTTTTGTGGATTTACGCAAAAACGCAAATATTGTGGCCATAGCCCACTTAGAGATGGGATAAAGTCTGTTGGGTCGTATTTGCCAGGCTTATTGGCCATTTACTTTTTGGAGCGATCTTCCAACTGACGTTTGATTCGAAATGTTCAGTGTTCTTGCCCTCTGGTTTAACATAGCTATGGAAGCCATGGCCATCCATAGCCCACTGGAATCTATAGGTGATTTATGATGATTTACCGTTCTTGAACATGATGATTTTCCAGTTCGCTACGTTAGTGATTACCAAAAGGTAGAAGATTTTGATGGCGGGGCCAGCATCTATGGGGGATGGGTGAAGCCGCTTCGGGTATCCTGGCTGATGTCGGCGAGGGGCATCATCCCGTTTCGGGTATATCCAGTTATATACTGGGCATGGTTTATGGCACTGGGTTTATGATATGATATTACTGATTGAATGATTTGAATTGTGGTTCCATCCAAGATTTGCTAATGATCACAAAAACACAGGACACAGTTTTGGGCCAGGGAGCTCAACCACCAGTCACCATGAGCCAGTCTCCAATCTCACGCGCCAGTTTCGACCCAGCAGATAGATCCCTTGGAAAAAGTGTCCAGGGGGGATGTACTTCACATCCCGACCGAGGTGCAATGTTTATTAAATTATGTTGTATCATGTTGTATCTATAGTCATCATTACACAACACGTTTTTTCATGTTTTTCCTGGTTTCAACTCAACTTGATTTTGGCCGATCAAATTGCATTGGTTTAGGGATACCACCCTTGCGCATCTGTGAAAATCCAGCATCTCCCCAACTAACATAGACCATGTGAATCGCCAGTTATTAGAGGCACGAGTTGTGTTCCAAGCCAACTCATCGCATGGTCAAACTGTTGTTTTGAAAGCATGGTAGCATCCGTCAACCCATGAAAACCTATGAACACGTATGAACCTCTACAAGGTGGGCCTCCTAGCTGCAATTTGGTTTATAAACCCAATCTCACCATATATACTAGATATAATGCTGTGCCCCGATTAGTGTGGGGATACTGTATTGTGTCAAGTTTTCCCAAAATAATTCTGACCCAGTGTGCTTGCTGGGGTGGGTCGGTATTGTGTCAAGCTTTTTTCTGAGGACATTTGTTCAGCATTTTCAGTTTTTTTCAGCGTCTTTGATTTTCAGCATGTTTTCAACATTTTTGAAAATAATTAATGAAAATAATTAATGAATCAATTATATAACTGATGAATATTTGTTTGTTGTGGTGGTCCTCTATTGTGTCCAGCTTTTTTCCTTTCCAAAATCCTTTTCTCCTTTCCTTTCTCCCCAAACAGTGTGTCCACACTGAGGGGTTCCCACGGTAGGTGTTAAGGCCCGGTGTTCAATCGAGGTGGTATCCGGGGCGTTTGGTATTTTCCCTCTAAATTTCCGCACAAAATGCCTCTTGTGACATGTCCGTGTGCATTTCGACTGCGCAGCCTCGCACAAAACGGGTGTCGGAGGCTTGGCGTACGGCACTTTTCCTGCAAATTTCCACACCACATGGCTCTTGTGAAATGTCCGTGTACATTTCGACTGTGCAGGCTCGCACAAAGTGTGCTTCCCGGTCTTGGGATCAGTCTTCCTCCTCAACATCATCCTCCTCAATATCATCATCTTCCTCCTCCTCAACATCCACATCATCATCTTCCTCTCATATTTCTCTCATTTTTCTCTCCTCCTCCTCCTCATCATCATCACCACCACCACCACCACCATCATCATCATCATCATCATCATCATTGTCATCATCATCATCATCATCATCATCATCATCATCATCATCATCATCATCATCACTACCATCACTGCCATCACTGCCATCACCATCACCATCATCATCATCATCATCATCATCATTGTCATCATGATCATCAACATTAGAGTGCATTGTTCTTTTTCTCCCCCCCACACTGTTTGGGGCCTCTTGCCGGCCGGGAAAATCCTTTCCTTTGCTAAAGCTTTTCTCTTTTTACTTTCTTAGTTGCATTTTTTGGAATTCTCAAAATGTCTAATTTCCAAAATTCAGGATGCCTTATTGAATCGCCATTAAAAAAGAGAGCTGGGGACTGTGAGCGTGCGCTTTTTTAGACATTTCAGATTGGTGAGTATCTTCATCTAAGTGTCAGCTGACACATGCCTCTAAGCCACAACCCTCATACTGACGAGGTGTCCATCACATGTATGACTAAAAAAACATATTAAAGATGGTTGAAGACAAAACAAAAGTAGTTCTTCACATGCGCAAGCAACACAATACATAATTGGTGACATAACTGCATAGATAAAAACTCTCGTCAAGAGATATTATCAAGATAAATTTGCCGTTCAGCCGTGTGTTTTTGCAGGGGCAATATCCAAACAAAATATGAAGTATTCCTTGAAAAGTTGCATCATGCCCTTTGAAGGAGTGCAGTGTGCATTTCCAAATGTCTAACCCTCCTTTCAAAGGAGCAGTGCCCCTTTTAGAAAAGTCAATATTTTTGCATAATGTATGCAGTATGATTGACATAGAGCATCCCTTTCAAAAGCGCAACATGTTTGAAACTGTGAGCACTATTAAAGAATGTTCTTTCGCTTCTTACCACTGAACAACAGAATATTGTCCTGTATGGCAAAAAAATATTCCTGTGGAGAAGCAGCATTCTTGGAAACCTGGATTACTTTTGTTTGACATGTGTACTCTTCCCCTTGGTCAGATCAGCCCAGCCTTCATGTAGACAAGTCTTACTTAAAGAAATGTTTTCAATACAATCCAACAATAATGTTTTCGTTTAATCAAATATCTCACTCATATCAAGGGGATGTTGCACAAACTCAACAACAGATTCTTCAAGGACGATCATACTCTTTCAAAAGAGTGCCACATGCATACAGTATACCGTATACCATATGTTCAAGCAATGTTTGATGGTCTTAAGATTTAAAGATGCACATTCTTCAAATTACAATATTTTTCAAGAGGAGAGCTGCCTACACCAAAGGGTGTTATTCCCAAAATATGGTTCGTTGTCTTGGAAGAATATCACATTATGCATTCAGAAAAATGATGTGCAATTGTGAAGGACGTATTTTACGTGCTTACATGTACCATTTCTTCTTGAGTTAAGAAAATATATTGTGAAAAGGGCATTGCATGTGCAAGAGGGTTCATTTTTGACATAGAAGTAGACTAAAACATGACCTACTTCAATGGGATGCTCTACCATTTTAAAAGAAATGCACTTGTTGAAGGGAGCACTCACTTCAAAGAGATGCATCACTCCTTTTCAAGGGAATCCTCAAAGTGTTTGAACATATGTTAACTCAAGGATTTGAGCCAACAATGTCAATCTCAAAATCAGTTCTACACATTCATTGGCTGCCTATGTGTTTGCATTTGTTCAACACAGTTTTTGAAAAATTACATAAACAGACAAAATTGCCTAATCCGTGTCCCAAGCCCCTAAGCTTCCCTCAGTGATACCTGCATTTGTCCATGGTTTTTTACATGGTTTCCTAATGGAACCACAGGCCCGAAGCAACCAATAAAATCAACTAAAAGCAAGTTTGCAACCCCTAAAGTGGGAGAACTGGCAAAGAGTGAGGTCTAGGTCCTTCACTTTTGTGTTGTTTTGCCAGCCCTTCAAAAAAACCAACAACGAACCAGAAAACAAGGAACCAAGAAACCAAAAAAATGCAAAACAAAAAAAAAACTCCTAACCCCAAGGAACCCAATCTTTGTTACTTTCATGAGTCTGTTTTTTGTTTTTTGTTTTTTTGTGTTTTTTTTTGTTTTGTTTTTTGGGTTTTTTTTTTCGTTTTGTTTTTTTCCCCTTTTCCTTTTCCTTTTGCAGCAGATTGGCATAGGCCAACAGACATGCAGCAGATAAATATTTTTTTCTAGATAATTTGAGGAAAACTATTGCAACATATTGCAAATTTGTGCACGCTGGTGGTGCCCTGTTCGATTAAAAAACAGCACCCAAACAAATTTTCAAGGGGGTAGCCCATGAGCAGCATTGATCTTCAATAGTATGTTTGCTGTGGGTGTCCTCTATTGTGTCCAGTTTTTTTTTTCGAAGTGTTTTTTTCCAAAATCATTTTCTCCTTTCCTTTGCTATAGCTTGTGTCTCTTACTTAGTTCAATTGTCCTGGCATCCTATCCTTGATTCCTATGGTGTTTCTATGGGATTTCTATAGAGTTTCTGTGGGAATTCCATGGGATTTCTAAGGTGTTTCTATGATATTCTATGGTTTCATGGTGTTTCTGAAGGGGTGTCTATGGCATTTTTATGGGATTCCTATGGGGGCTCAAAAGGATGTCTATGGGATTTGGATTCCTATGGGATTTCTATGATATTTCTATAGGAATTCTTTGGGAATTCTATGGGATTTCCATGGGGGTTCTTTGGAATTTCTATCGTGGTTCTATGATATTTCTATGGGATTTCCATTGGATTTCAATAAGATTTCTATGTGATTTCTAAGGTATTTCTATGTTTTTTCTATGGGATTACCCTGGGATTCCTATGAGATTTCCATGATATTTCTACTGGATTGCTATGATATTTCTATGGGTTTACTATTGGATTTCTATCATAGTTCTGTGGGATTACTGTGGGATGTCTGAGGGAATTCTGTGGGATTCGTATGGGATTTCTTTGTGGTTCCTATGCTATTTCCATGTTATTTCTATGATCTTTCTATGGGATTTCTGTGGGATTCCTATGGCATATCTATGATATTTCTATGGGATTACTATGGGATGTCAATTGAAAGTAAGTTGAAATCAATTGAACATAAATTCAAACTAAATTGAAATCAATTGAAAGTAAGTTGACATCAATTGAAAATAAATTGAACGTTAATTGAAAATAAAGGAAATCTAGTGAAAGTAAATTGAAATCAGTTGAAAGTAAATTGAAATCAATTAAAAACAAATTGAAACCAAGTGGTAGTAAATTGAAATCATTGAAAGTAAATTGAAGTCAATTAAAAGCAAATTGACATCAATTGAAAGTAAATTGAAATCAGTTGAAATCAATTGATCCAATATCATTCAGACACCGGCCCCGAAAAATGTTCACATTAAAGAGATTCCTAAAGTTGTTTAGGGGGGCCCTACACTAATCAAGATCCGACATTATCATGATATAATATGATATATCATGTATCTATTAACCATAGAATTCACCACTTAGCATCACTTAGCTACCATTTCGGGCCCATTTCGGGGTCTAAAAAAAAGGTCCCCCTCTCAGCTCGCGCTCAGCTCGCGCTCAGCTCGCGCTCAGCTCGCGCCATCTGAGGTCACACTTGTTTCCAGTTGCTCCAGTCCGGCACCGGCACCGGCACCGGCACCGGAAGCCGCCGACCCTACAGTCATCCAGCCGGGTGGCCCAGCGGCCCAGCGATTGACGAAACAAATGGAGGTGATGTCCGATGCTGTAAAGACCTCAAAAGGATGGACAAGGTTTGATTTAGTACCTATATTCGGATTTGACTTTTCTGTGTTTTTCCTTTTTGCGGGGTTGCCATAGATTGCTTTCGAAAACAGTCACCGGTCTTTTTTTTGGGTGAAACCCCGTAAGGTGGGTTCAAGGTTTTGAATAAAAGCATCAGGCGTTCTGTTCTGCTCGTATGCGCATTTCCTCCTTCATAGACCAGGGTTTCAGATTTGATCAGATTTGATCAGATTTGATCAGATTTGATACATTGTCCTACATTGTCCAATGATGTGTAGCCATTTAAGTAGCCTCTATGCACCAATCACTGCCAAGCTGAGTAAAAGTTTAGGTCCTCGATGGCCTCGGCCTCGATGAGAAACACTACGGGGTAACATTGTAACATGACCGGGGTCCTTGGGTCATCCCTTGGGAATCAAAAAATGGAGAAAGATGGAGAAAGATGAACCATGGACTGCGGAACTCCATTCGCGTCGTGCAACTGTTTTAGAAAAACATGGTCCATTCTATTGTATTAATATCTCTAAACTGAAATAGCAAACAATGGGCATACGGCATCGGCATTTTTGTGTTTTGTTTCAGCTGGCCATTTGGGGCAAAACCAAAGCCAGTCAAGCCAGTCAAGCCAGTCAAGCCAGTCAAGCCAGTCAAGCCAGTCAAGCACAACGCGTGTCGCGTTTTGGACAAACCTCGCAAAACGTTGTTTTGTAATTGAAACCAACAGTGTTAAACCCCAACAGAATGCCAATCCTATAGCTAACCAATCATAGAACCAAGAATAAATAAATGATAAACCGACTACGAATGGCAATAGTTAAGCCCGATTATAAAACCCAGAATAAGCCCAATAAGAAACCAATAGGAAACGCAAGAATGATACCACAACCATAAAGCCAATAATTCTCTGAATCGGTTAAAGGGACAAATTACAGGAACCCTCTGTATTTCGTGGTATGACATGCAAAACCAAAAGACGATGGTTCATTCAATCATCAAAAGTCTTGGTAAAATCTCACTTTGATGCACGGTTAAAACGGTTAAAACCAATGATGCACGGAGAAAGGCCGCGCCAATCACCCCCTCCGACGTGCCGCGCCTCTCTTTGAGCCTTTGAGGCTGACGTCAAGGCCGCCAAGAGCATGGCAAATTGCGACTTCCCCCACTGGGGCCTGAAGCTGGGAAGAACATGGGGATTTGGGTGGATTTAGATTGATTTAATGGTCTTGTTGGTGGGTATTTTCCAGGTATTTTCTGGATAGAACGGGTACTATGATTTCTAATTGGTTGCTGCATAATCTACATGCGGGTCTTTCCCCCACAAAAACCTGGATTGAGACACAATGTATGTTTTTCGGGGCATGCCATATGTGCATTTAGATTGGTTTACAACGGGTACCAAACCAACAATGTTATCGGGATATATCATGCGATATATGATGGGACTCAATTCACCAACAGAAACATTGGCAATGAACTAGTTTGGTTTGAGGGGAATTTGCCCAAAAGGGATGTGGCCCAACAGGAAGGGTTTAACATGGCAAAAAGAATGATAGATTTGAATACAATAACCTGTACATTATATTATACTGTATTATACTAATGTATACATATATATATATAACAAATATGTAACATATGAGATGAGTTTGTCCAAAAACGGAGACTGCCTCAATTTGATGGCATTTTAGGGGCTAGATATGATAACACGTGGAATGTTGGGTACCCTGTTTTCGGCCAAACTCAACTGGTGATGTAAATCATCCACCAACCTTATGCTTTTGCGTCTCTATGATAAGCCATGAAAATGTTCAAGAATTGAGATCTGACCGACACACATTTAGTAACAAGGGCTGTTAAGTCTCCAATTGCTGGGCCTGCTGGGCTCATCAAATTCGTGAAGCGGCTTTTGACCACTCTTCTGAATCGATCATGCTGTCTTCCACAGAACGTTCACCCATGTACTCGGGACGTGTGGTAACGTTCCTCAAAGGCATACATGTAAAATATAAGCGTTAATATCATGTCCCTACTAAACTGTATATATTTGTATACACGTGTACATGTATATACATATAGTGCATTTTGTGGGCTATTCCACCACAAACTCGTCAAACCATTCGTCATGATTTTCCGCTGTAGTCTGCATGTCTGTCTCGAGTGTGCTTGTTATACCCCAATGTTTGTTGGATGATATTCAAGGTGGTGCCCCCCCCCAGTTATAAATTGGTTATAAGCCAATTAACTATAGATATATCACCTATAAACCATAGTTATTGGAGTTATTTGCACCAACTTAGCACCTTGTTGGGGGCACCACCTTGTTGGATTTCAACCCAGCTTTGAATGGCAACATCGTAACACCGACCGGATGTTCCAAGGAAGAATGCTTGGGGCACAGAGGATCGTATCCCTCTCTCAGCCACTGGACCAGTGGGCTGTTGAGTGTAGAGTTGGGACATCCAGTAGGCAATTTTGGTGAATTTGGGTATTTCCATAAATACAGTGGATCAGAATTTGGATATCCCAGAAATGGATGGTTATTACTGAGAATAATCAACTTGTGCGGTTCCCTGGGCCTTATATTCTGAAATATACCCATACCCATACGGGTTAGTCGGAAAATAAGGTTCCCAATCATTTGTTCTCGTCATTTTCTTTCTTACACTTGCCAAAAATTGCCATAGGTGGGTGCATGTATTTTGGTCTGTGCCATGATCAGAGACACCCAAATAGATGTGTAGATGATCAACTTCCAACGCCTAGCTATTTTTTGGCCCCAGGCTACATGACGTCAGATGTTTTGACCGCCACAAAAAAGCCAAACACGGCGTTGGTGGGTCCAAAGTTTTTTACTGCCCATTTTGTTTGATTACATCAAATATTCACTTGATGGGCAGAAACACAAATTTGTTCAATCATCTTTTTTGGAGAGGTTTTCAATGGGCCGCTCTCAGGTTGTGAAGATGCGTGGGCCGGCATCGGAACAGGCATCATGGGGAGTGGTTTGCTTGGAGGACGACCAATATGTTTTCTGGAATCAACAAACACGGAGATTTCACAAACCCAAACTCTTAACTCATCAAAAATCAACACTCACGATGTTCACTGCCAAGTAGCTTTGGTTGTAGCTTTTTTTTTAGCCCGTTTTGATGGTCAGAGCAATTGCCATTTGGCGGACTGTCATCAAACAGCCTTTCAATATTTATCCATCTCATTAGATCTCACCAGAGGAAACTACGATATATATATACTGTATATTATAATATGTATGTATATATAATATACACGATCCCACTACTTCCCTCGAATCGGATTCGGAACCTGCCAGCATTGTTCTTCAAATTGCTTTGATCCGCAAATCAAATTCACGTAATGCAATATACCCCATATCTAATAAACCTTCCCAGGGGGATAGCATCATGTCTGAGAAAAATTGAGCTTGTTTCATTGGAATTACCACAAAAGTATACAAAAGTTCTGTGTTTGTACTGGGGGGTGCATCCCATTGAGTAAGGTGGCACATGGTGGCACCAAGCATATTATGTTGAAATCCAACTACATATTGGAACATCTCCAAATAGATATGGGTTCCCCTCCCTAGATGAATAGATATGAATAGTATAATGGAAAAATCATCCAGAAATGATGGATTTTCCATTGTCACGCCAGAAATTATCAGAGGGTAACAAAAAACGGCGTATTTGTACCACTTAGGATGCATCAAACTCCATCCTCCATGATCCTCTAGCCATGGTTGAAAGGTGCAAAAGTGGGGTGAGTTGACGTTGGAGACTACGGATCACGTAGGGAAGCCGTGAAATGCGTTGCGGGTTCTGACTTTGTTGGCGAAGTTTTGGTGGATTTTAGCTCTTCCTTTTTGCAAGATTTTGGGGGATTCATAGCAGTTTTCACGTGGAATATCATTAATATCTATGTACGAGCAGTCGGGTGTATCACCAATTAGTTGGGGTAGTAGCAAGTCTGTACAGGGTTGGGTTCATGGTAAATCTCTTCAAGATTCTGGTGCCTGGAAAATGGGTTTTGTTGTCATTGTGTGCACCATATCCCAGCAAGACATTTCATAAGAGAAGCATGAGAAATCGAAGGAATGCTACTAACTACGAGACATTATTATGCCCCAGGCATTTGGCCATACGTCAACTGCCCACAATTGTGAGGAATGGTCTGACAGTAAGAGGTAGCGACCTGCAAGACCAGACAAGTCTTGGGGAACTGTTCCAGCTACTTGGGGGTGCAGTTCCAGTTCCACGTAAACATATAACATCATATAGGGGGATATTGGGGGTTAAATCCCAACATACAGGGATTATAGCCATTGAAAATCCCTGCAGCCAGTACTTTGGACAGCGCCAGAAACATGGCATCGCCTTGCATCACTGTGGCTCAGGTCTTCTGTTCGCCTCACTTCAAAGTGGCCCAGTGTGGAACAGGCTACAGACATTACAACCATCAGGACAAACAGGAGCCTCCGATTCGGCGACGATCAGTGAATTTTCTTCAGCTTTTTTTCAAAAGAGAGTGTCAGCTGAAAACCAGCTCTGCAAATACAGTGGTACTAGTAAGATTGTTACACGGTAAAGTGATCAATTGCCTGGATCGGCTCATTGATATGCCATTTTGAGTCAATCATCCCTTGTGACAATTCCTGTGACGTGTTCATGTTATGAGGGGGCCAGTTTAGTTAAGTTATACCGTTATACCCGTTTATATCCCAATATGTAATTTAAGGGTTACACCACCATAACTTGAATTGACTAGGGCAACAAGGCTTAGTTACAACCCAACAATATCACAGGACCTTATGCGGCGCTTCAAAGACCCCCAGGCGTGGGACTTGGGTCAGGTGTGCAGTTTATGGATATTATGATGTGGAAGTTGGCATACTATTGATATTACCTATATTGTGATATATGAACTATAAACAGTAGTTATATATGATTATATGTAGTTTGATATTTGATAATAATGATGTCATATGATTTCAATATGATAAAAGAAATATAACCAGCATATATATATATATACAAATCCCTTTGGAACTGGGACTGCGCTTGGAAGGATGAATGCCAGATCCAACTTTGCCCGCCCAGAAAGAGCACAACTTAAGCCTTAGCAACGCGATCTTCGTTTCAGCCACCGTATCTCTTGGGTGTCACCATATGTCACCTGTACGAGGTCCAGTTGAGGTGGGTTTTTAACTAGATACGCGGCCCCAAAGAACTATAGTGCACTGAGTGCACTGAGTGCACTGTCTCCGGCACAGCTCCGAGGCTCCAAATCAGGAAGAGCTATGTGAGTTGTTGAGACTTGGACCTTAGTGACTGGTACGTTCCTGCTACGTTGAATGCTGGGTTTTTGAAGCAATGATGAGTATTCAACCAGCTAACATATATGAATTCTACTCAAAAATGTGAACGGGATGAGGATCCCCAATGACGAGCATATTTTCTGGGGCTGGCTCAATGCACTCAACCACCTACTAGGTTGCTAGCTGGATCTGTTTAGATTGGGTCTGATGGCATAATCTGAAACACTCAGCTGATCATTATTATGCAGCTGGGGTTTTGTACATGATTTACATCTATGTGGTCTACACATTATTTTCTTCCTGCATTTGTTTCAAGGGAGGAGAGGGTGGGAAACCACTGGCATTGGTGAAGTGGTTTAATGTTTGTTGATGTTGTGGCTATGACATAAGCAACCAGCAAGGCATATATTGGTGACTACAGAAACACGTTGATTATTACTACATACGGACACCCTTGGGGGTGGTTCAAAATAAGATGCGAATCTTCTGGAAATAATGGATGTGTAATTAGCTATTGTCGGTTGTGTCACCGGCTATGTGAGCCATCCTGAACTAACCCAGAGACAATGGGGACATTCCAACCTACATATGCATCCATATGCAGCAAAACACATTTGATGTTTGGTTCACCCGTCAAGTAGGGATTATCGTCAACAAGTTACAGTAATATGATTCAGACCTTTTAGCAATTGATAGATTTCCCCCAAAACATGCCCACGTGAACCATCGTGAACCCGAGTGGGTAACGTCTGAGCAGTTCTTGGTTGGTTTGCCCACGGTCACCTAGCAGAATTCTCCTTGCAAGGGGGCACCAAATTGGCCCATGCTGAGGAAAGGCTTAATCCCATCTTCGACTATTCCTTCAGATCACATGTGTGTCCGTGGCCAAGCACTAGAGCAGCAGGTCATTTTTGGAATGAAGAATCAATAAGCCACGTTTGGCGGATTGAATTTGGCATATACCCACATTCGCCTATTGCTGATTATCAGGATTTAAGGCGATTTAAGGAGGTTCGGGCTATTTGGATGTTCACCTCTATGTTGTCTTGACATGTACAGGCGCCATGTGGGTGTTTTAAGCTGCCCATCGGGCCTATCATGATACTCCTCCAGAATGGCCTGGTTTACTATGGAGACCTAGCTGTTGGGCTTGATCCTTGACTCAATAAAAAGAACAGGAGATGCCATGACTATTTAGGCTATGGATCAATCAGTAAAAAAAACGCACAGAAGAAGCAGATATTTTGGTCATTTCGAGTATGAACTATCCAATTTAGATCAATTTTGCATAATTTTGCCAGTTTTGACCTATACCCATTTCAGCACTGGGTCTCCCTCATGGCTATGCATGATGATGCTCCCAGTATTCCCTTCTGTCTTACATGTATCTCCCACTTATTGATGTTGTTGGATGCGGTCTCCCCATGTATGCCACCTCCATGGTTTGCGTGTTCTTTCTGTATCAAAATTGTTGGTTGAATCCCTTCTTGCATGCATACTTCACTTATATCGGTCCTCCACTTATTTGATAGTTTCCCCACTGTTGTTGTAAAATCTGGACCTCTGTGTAAACAATATATTTAATGCCTTGTCCATTGTTGATTCTATCCCAGTTAGTGATGAATTCACACCACTTTACAGTAATTTAACGTGAAACCCCAAAAACGGGTCTAGACAATCTTCCTATTGGATATGTCCGTTTTTGAGGAAAACAATTATTTGTTGCTGATCTTCCTGCTGTTATAGAATTAATATTGATGGCTATAGTCCATGCTTGTTGGCTAAAGCATTTTTTCGGCCGGTGATTTTTCCATGGTCAATATCTAAGAGACGATTGAAACTCTGGTGTTTTCAAAGCTTATTTGGGAGTTTGATCCCCAGTGACAATCATTTTCCCTCCTGGCAACTTACTCTCCAGTAAACTAAGAGTTTGCTATAGAAAATGACCTATTTATAGCTGAATTACCTATTAATCATGGTGATTTACCACAGCTATGTTAGTTTACCAGAGGGTAATCCCCTAATATGTTTGGAATGCCTTGAAAGCAGCGATTTTTCATCATCATTGCTGCCACGGCGCCACGGCAAAAGGGTGCATTTTGCTTGCGCCCATGAGCAGTGGCTGCTGAATCTAATGTATTGGAGACTATCACCAACCATCCCTTTTCTGGGCATCCATATTAAATATCAATGGAAATTCCAGGATCCTAAAATGGAGGTACTGTACCATATAATGCCATATTTTGTGGGGATATTCTCTTACATAGGCCTTACATAGGCCTTATATATGGTAGGTACCTGCAATTTAGGATCCTGAACTGGGCATCCATATGATTAACCAACTAGAACTAAACGGACTGACCGGTTGAGTAAACTAACTCCCCATGTTGTTGACTAAAAAACCAGATAATCCATAGGATATCCTCACTACCCTTCGGTAATTTGTAAAGCATTGGGCTAAGTGAGCCATGGCTTCCAGTTTGCAAACTGTCAACAAATTACTCGAGACGAGCAGTTCGAAATCAAGCAACTCACCATAATTAGCATGTTTGTCGGTTAAATACCATTCACATCCCACGAATATCCCAGTCATATCCCATTCATATTCCTTAAAATCCATGATTTTGGTTGCTGAACTCCCAATGAAATCCCATGACTTTGGCAAACTCGCTACGTTTCCGCCGCGGGCGCCATATTTTTCCAGGTCTTGGCCACATTCCAGCTATCGCCACGTGATGAGGCCGTCGAGGCCACTTTGTCTCCCACTGTCTATATATATATATATATCTGCCACTTTGACTCTCATTTGTTTTACATTCTGTCTGCCACTGTTTTGCCTTTTGTCTCCAACTATGTCTCCCATTTTCTTTGTCGCTCACTGTGTCTCCGACTTCGGCACTTCGGCCCCCCCCCCTTTCTCTCCCACTTTTCTCCCACTTGTTTCCCACTTTGTTCCCCACTCTCTGTTTCTCATTTTGTCTCCCACTCTGTCCCCCACCTCGTTTCCGGCTTTGTCTGCCACTTTGTCTCTCCCACTTTCTCCCCCCCATTGTCTCCCAGTTTGTCTCACTTTGTCTCTCGCTTTGTCTGGCGCTTTGTCCCCCACTTGTTTCCAACTTTGTCTCCCACTGTGTTTCCCCGTTTGTCCCCCACTTTATCTCCCACTTTGTCGCCCAGCTTCTGTCCCACTCCTCACTTTATCTCAAACTTTGCCTCCCCCTTTGTCTTCCACTCTGTCGCCCGCTTTGTCTGTCATTTTGTTTCCACGCTGAACGTCAAAATGTGGCCCAAACGTGGACACTACTCCGGAACCTTGTCACGTTGAAGTTGGCATATTCACTGCTGTTGGGTTGCAAAGCCGGGTTAATGTGTTTTATGGGATTACATCAAATATAGCATATGATATCAATCATGTGTGTAATCCCATTGTATCATCAGTTGTTATTCCCATACTTCCGGTCATGGGACTAGGGCCATCAATGGATGTTTGATAGTCAGGTATGCCCCTAGAAAATTGCCATCAAGTGTAGGGGAAATTATGATCGACTCTTGGATCTAGGGATAATCCAGATTTTTTAGACAAAGCTGCATAGTATGAATAAAGGGGGAGAATTAATGAGAATGAGAATTATGTTTATCCATTTTGAAATGGTTGAAAGCAGCAGGAAGACTAGGACTAGGATATGATGAAGAGAAAGTGGTGTGTTTTCTAAGTGAGAAAAGGCATCAACTATAGAAGGATACAACTATATACTGTATACAGCTACTAAACGATATGACATCCAATTGACTTATATGCCATGAAGAATCACACACACACACATCACATCATTTTGCCGAAATGATTATGGAATAGAAATTATGATACAGCGGATATCAATGGGCTAGAACCAGCACTATGTGTTTCACATGTTTGAACCCCCTCTCTGAGGTGTTTCCCCAGTTGTTGAGACAAAATCAGGATTTCACGGGGCGTTTGACCCTGCTATTTTATTTGCGGGGGTTGGAGATTTGCTGTCCACCAAAACAGTGACATGTTCAAGGTCAAAGTGTTGACTTTCCAAAGGGTATCCGACACTCCCAAAAAGTTGACCAGTCAGTTAAGAGTTTGCTATGGAAAATCACCCATGATTTATCTACAAAAACTGCGGGTTTTTTTTCCATGGCCAACTCTTCGTTTACCCAAGGGCATTCCATCATATCTGAGGTCCAGGGATATGCGCCGGAAGAGATGGAGGATCTCCGACATCGTTTCAACCAGCGGGGATCTCACCGGTTGTGGGGATGATCTCGATATCTCGGCTGTCAAAACCCAACCGGTTGTGTTCACAAAACGATATGAAAGGAGTGCATCTCTGCAGCTTAAAATTTCGGGAGATGACGTCCATACTCGAAATGATCAAAGAAACAAACAGTGTTCCAGACAATTCATGTTCATCCCAAATGGAAAAACTCACAGTGTGTTCATCTAATGTGGCCAAACTGGCAGGCCAAAGAAATACACATTCAATCCACTTCAAGACTACACTGACTACACTGTTGATCTAGAACTATCTCCTACCAGTTGCTTAGATCATCTTGGATCTACATTTTCCATGTCTTTAATGTCTTTCATGTCTTTCGCCATTGTCGTTGGATGTCAAGATGCTTGCTGCGTCGGTTCTGTTGTGCTTTCCCGACACTGAAACCCTGAAAAGATTCAAGATACTTAAAAAGACGAACATAAATTAATTATTGTTGTGATTCAAATTGCATTTTTTTTATGTTGTTAATGGCAAATGGGGTATACAACCCGCGACACTGGGTACTTCAATTTTTCGTACTCATTCACCTTGATTTGGGGTTATGAGTTTTGATTTGTTCACCACATACCCAGCATCTTGGCCTGATTTGCATGTTGACAGATATGTGCAGCAGCAAGTTGCATCGCTTCCAAAATTTACAGGGGTCGTTTTTCTTCCCATGTTTGAAAGAAAAAGAATTCCTTGATGTTTTTATTTACACGTCTTTGCCACGGTGCCAAGTTGTTTCAAGCCCGCATCCAAGAGCGTGTTGGAAGTTCTTTGAACCCGCCACCCCATCTCTCCCTTCCCGCAGCCTCCCACCCCACACCAGCCCCTCACCTTCCCCCCCACACCCCCACCTCCCCAAAATAATCATATTATATGGTCATTCGTTGGAAATGTTGTGAAATGCGCCGTAATATTGCTGACACGTGCACAAAAACTCTCAAACGTGCATAACATCCCTGAAACGTGTATCTGTGACATCTGTGAGAAATGACAAGAGCATAATTGGAGTGTACATGTGACATCAAACAAAAATAGGATGCAGCATATTATCCAGCATGCAAACAATAGTAAACGGCATGTTATAAGATGTTATAAGTTTGACTTATAAGGATCGTAACCATTTACACACCCTTTGCCAAAGGAAGGGCCCCCTACGGCCCTACGGTTTATAAACCCATCCAACTGTGCGTGTGTATTTATATAGTTTTATATATATATATTATATATATACAATATGCCACCACAAATCCATGTGCTAGCCTAGCTAAAATCCAACAGAGACCTATCTTTTGACAGCCCTTCTTGGAACGTCATCAAACTTCTGGTGCTCTCGCAGTTGAATCTCCAAAGTAATTTGGCTGTTGGTCAGAACCCATGGAATCCCCTGGTGATTTAAAAAGTAGTTTCTTTATCTTCCGAAACATTATATTTCATTATATTTCATGTGTTTTGATCCATCCCCATTTCATCAGACTCAGCTTGAGTAGTTTCATATTTAATCAATGCAGGAAAAGGGAAAAATGCCACTGATGACTCCTAAGACAAGAATGGTTTTGAGGTATGTATATGAAACATGTTGCTGCATCCGACCCTAGGCTTGACAGCCAACATCAATACAGCGGATGAACTATGCTCCAGTAATTTAACCATTAGTTTGGCAAATGGCCCATTTAGTTTGATGATTTACCATGGATTTACCTATTAAACACTGCTATGTGCAACAGCAAAATCTCTTAAAATTCGAGAGGGTATGGGATGTTCATGATGTTCACACTATATTTATAGGATATGAATGATGTATGGGCCTGAACATGGTGTATATATACCCCTGATATCATCATGATTCAGCAGATGAAATGATCCTTATTGTATCTTATTGTAACCTGCAAAAAGAAAGATCATTTACCACTACTACATAGGATTTCAGCAACTTGGGCATATTTTGGGGGGGTTCTGGGGGCCAGTACTAGTGGTGCTTCAATCAGCTTCCAACAGGAGGATTTTTTGCTGGGTGATCGTGTGCTGATCAAAGCCGCCAAGGAGGAGCCCAAGGCCGTCCAAAGCCCAGAATGGATGATCGACACTCATGGTGGATCAACACCACATCTATGATAAACGTCGAAACGTTTACGGGAGGGTACCACATGGTATGATTTGTGTTCTAATGATTTTACGGAAAATGATGAGAATCCGTTGGGAATTGAGATTTTCTGGCATTAAACATCTCTCTCTCATATGCCCAGGCTTGCAATCTATGCTGCGATTATGCGGCACTGAATATCACAAAATCATTACAATCATGTTTAAATCATTCTATATCTATGTCTAAAGTAATTGTCAGGGGAAGATCATCAGGCCCCAAGATATGGTCGGTTTCTGTCGGTTTAAAGTTAATGTCGGGAACCAGGATAAGAATCATTTGGAATGTATCTTAGGTGCGCTGCGTCGTCAGGACATTCAGTGGTCTACCGACGTGCCTGAACATATGTCAACATGGATTAGTAAATGGGCGATATTACATACCCTCTGGTTATGACTAACATAGCCATGGAAAATGGCCCATAGAAATAGATGGTTTACCTATTAATAGCATGGTGATTTTCCATGGCTATGTTAGTCATATCATAACCAGATGATAATTACAGGTGCATGTCATGAGGCACTGAATCTATGTTGAAATGATTTGGTCATCTCTAGATGACCAGGTTGACCAGTTTTTTTTTGTTTTGGCATGTAGCGGATGGATGAGGATGGATCAAAATCGCTGGATTTTGCAACAGGGGATTCGATGGCTTTGACCATGTTTAACATTGTTTAACCCATCCCATATGCGAACCATGGTGCTGGAATATTTACTATCATTTACCCCATAAATGGCCCAAATGCAGGTAAATATACTATACATGGAGCATATGGGCATAGCCAGATGTTCAAAAACCAAATCAAACAATCTCCACAATTTTCACAGTGGCATCATGAGACAAGTTTCTTGGGTTCATTAACGTTCCACTCCGCTGGTCGAGACAGGGGATTAAACCACAAAATGTCATTGAACTGTGAATAAAGTGGGCCATTAATAATTGTGATATAGCTGCATGTAATGGAATATAAATCGGGATTTATTGGGATAATAATTGGATAAAATGAAGCAACACCGCTTTGATTGGGTGTCAGCGCGCGTTGTTGGTACTTCTATTTTCCATATCTTCGTTAGGCAGTTGATTTGCTTGGGGATTTCATCCTGATTTCATCCATAAAACGCCTTCTTCTTATGCCAAAGCCACAGGCAATCCTTGGTAGCATTCAAGAATCCCGTGCATGTGGTTTTTCGAGTAGAAACCACACCAGAAAGTGAGTGGCCCATAAACCTAAGCCTCTACTTGTTTGAGCCAAAGTAAAGGTGGTGGCACAAGGTGTTGACACTGGTATCATGACATACCTGAAGTGCCTATACCTTCCCCAAGATGAACACAATTTGTTCATCATTTTTCCCACCTGATTATCTTGGGCCATACGGAGTCAATTCCCTAGCTCCTTTTCATGCCAACTGGTTGATAGCCATATGTTTTATCATTTTACAACCCAGTTTATAAATGATATACATACATATACATATATATATAGGATAACCCACGAATCGTGGACTTACTAAGTGCAAGCTGAGTTTCCTCCGGTATAAGTTGGTTTCTAAACACCATTCTAGAACTATACTTATATTCCCTATCAACATCTATGACCCATAGAATTCACCAAGTGAACTGTGCGTCAACTCTGCGTGTCAGGCCTGGGAAGGCACCGTGAGGTTCATTGGAATCACCGACTTCGCCACGGGCGAATGGTTGGGCGTCGAGTTGGACATCAAGGTTGGGGAGCCCTTGGGGAATGGCTCAGATGGACCAGTGATTTATCATGGTTCATCATCATGTCAATGCGATTTTGTTTTTCCACTTTTTGTTTTTTGGGGGGGAGGGGTTACCATAATAATGATAATAGAATTATCAGGATTTAATAGGATTTGAATTGGATTCGATGGTATTTACTGATATCTAATTGGATATAAGCAGCAACACTACATGTTGGTGTGTCCGGATTTTTTGGTATACCTGAGCAAATGAAATATTTTGATTGGACAAATGTTGATTAACCAACAGAATTAGGGCTACTGTACCCATTTGTACCCTATTTTAGACATATATACAATATAATATATAATATATAATATATAAAATATAATATATAATCATGATAGTGTTCTGATACACCCAGCGATACAAGTTTCTCTAACCCAATAGAAAAAGGTGGAATCTCCAATGGGCTGAAGAGCCACAAAAAAGGTGTGAGCGTTGAATTCTTACCTCGGATTCGATACCGGGATGATCCCAAATTCATGGGTAGTCAATATGGGTAACATTTAGGAATACATGAATTGAATCAGTCAGGTAAAGAAGTCTTATCCCAACATGGAACATTAATTGAATTATGTAAAGCATGGGTGTACAATATGGTTACAGGATCTGTAGCGTGAATGAGAAGATCCACACTGTTCATTTTCAGGATTAGCAAGAACGATCCAATTTTTGGACTACCCATGGTATCGTTCCATCCCATCCATCTGGTGTGCCTGGCTGCAAAACTGGCCAGGAGTCCACAATTTGTGAAACGTAGTTTTTTTTTGCTGTTCAACCATGTTGTGTCTTTCCATCCCAACAACAAGATGTTAGTAAAGCAACAATGAACTAGCCATATGGATTGATGGTTACCCATTGACGATCAAACTGAGGATGGTTTATTGCTTTGCTCACATCACCTCGAGGCAGGCAAGAACGATGGCAGCGTTCATGGCAAGCGCTACTTCCAATGTGAGGACAAGTGACCCCTGCAGCACTGCGGAGAACAGTACCGCAATGTTTCATCCCTATGAGATAGGATGAACAGAGAAGAAACAACAAATGATGCCCGAAAAAAAAATGAATGTGCATGCCAGTCAGGTGGTTTATAAGCCACCTCTAATCCAGTTTGTAATTGGGGCATCTCATATATTCCTGGGTCAATATTTAATATATATACTCTATGGCCATTCATAATTGCGGAAGTGAAAAAACCGATACACCATATCAGTCAGTTCGGGGTGCCAATCTTCAGACATAGTTATATCATTGTGGCTCATTTTTTTTGGCCTAAACTTGCACATGGCCATTTGCGGGTAAATTTGGTAAAAATTGGTTCGCCAGTTTTGAGCGAATTGGTTCGCTGTGGGTCAATTTCTTTGACCCCAGATCTCACACTGTTGTTTTGTTTGATGATTTTGGTCTGACACTGAAATTGTTACATTCTTTGAAGGTATACTGTATCATACTGTATCGTTTGTATCTTTGACATAGTTTGATCTATATCGGTAAAATATACATAGATGATACATGGTATAGACATGCAAATCTATATATATATATATGGAATACATACAGTATATGTATATATAAGTACATACACATATTCTCCTACGTTTTGATTGGGCCCTTGGCTTCGGCTCCCATAATTTTGGGGAGATCACCTGTTTTTTTAATTCACGCATTAAAATGTTCATGTCTAGTATGTCTAGCCATTTTCATGCACACCCAACATGGATCAAATGTTGCCTCCAAATGCCTCCAAACTCTTGGCCAGCCAATGCCATACGCTTCCAATGGATTTCGAGCGGGGCACCGGGCCGTTCAGGTACGGCCTTTTCCTGCATCCTAGCGCAGTGCAAAAGTTCAAGGCCAGCGCACACAATGACCTCACTGGAAATGGTTAGTACTTTGGCGTGCAGATGCGTGCAGTTAGTTAGAAGTATATATGTATAGTCTGTATAGTTATATATATATAGCCTTAGCATGCCTTAGCTATAGGGGTTATATCCCAACTTGTGGGGTTATTGCCATGTACAAATCAATACTTCCAACTGCACTCCCAAGTACTGGTAGGAAAAATCTACCATCTCTGGTTGCTGGTTTCACAAAAAAAATGAGATGATTTTCAGGGAGAATGGTCATATTTGATGGTTAAATCATGTTAAACCCACCATTTTTTATATTTTTTATTGGTTAAATCATCATGTTTCGAAGATTTTTGACGGTGGAATTATGATGATTTGCTCGGAAGGGTATTTGGGGAACGCTGGAAGCGGGTGCAATTTTCAAGGCCTTCAAGTGCTTCAAGCCACATGTTCTTTTTCAGGAATGTTCAGGAAACCACCCAAATGTCATCAAAATTCAACGTTTGGATCCCCTGCAGCGGTTCACGGGACGAATTCAAGCATGGGGAGGGGGTGACACTAGTATTGGCCGACGTGGAAGAAACCCAGAAATCCTGCAAGCAAACATTTCACTGAGGGGTGCCAGTTTTGTAGCTATATACTGTAATTGGGTTAAACATATTTGAAGTAACATATTGCTAATCAAATCACTATAGATAGATAGGTAATACATCAACGAAGTGATAGATATGATAGATATTAATGTTCGTATTGATAGTCCTAAGTGTATATCTTTTGGGACTCTGGTTATATCATCTACTAATCAATCTTAATAGATGGGTTACAGATGGGTTATAGTCACAGTAGGGGGGTGATCTATCGCGGACCGCATCGGCCAGGCTTCCAGCCCTCGAGACATTGCTTTGGAGAAGGCAATGGCTGCGGCCCGCAAGCAGCCTGAATTTCAGTAGATTATTTTAGCTTTGCTAGATGCCTTTATGATGCCTTTATGATGCCTTTATGATGCCTTTATGATGCTATATTGTTTCAATTGTATGAATTAATCTATTGACATAATGAAGATAATGAAGTTCGGGTTTTATCTAATGATATCTAATGATATCTATAGTCATCCGCAGAAAGGTAGAAATTCCTAAATTCCCACTAGATGAACTCCTGGACCCGATGACACCCGCAGCCGCAGCTGGTGCTTTGGCTACTAGCCGCTAGTGAAGGGGCATCTAAAACTGTAGAGTTACATATGTGATTATATGTGTATATGCATGCCCATTTGTGTACCTATGTAAAATGTGTAATTATATATATAGTATGTTTAACATAATATATATATATATATATCATGATATCATATATAATATACAACATATGAATAATATGTTCTAACTATTCCTCCTCTTGGTCGCCAAACAGATCGAATACATTGATATAAGATGGCAGGGAAATCCTCCAAGCGTTTTATCGTTCTTGTCTCAGTAAGTATATCCACAATTCCATACTTGATTTAGAATTTAGAGCTTGATTGGACAGGACATGTGCCAGAAGCCCGCAATAAACATCCCATTCGGATTGCAAGCCACAGGTTGTCTGAAAACAAGCGTTGGGATTTTGAAAATTTAAGCCAGCAACCCAAGGGGGGTTCAGGTTGTTGACATTGGAAATCCGTTGGCCAAGTCTTTGCTTGTACAACAGCTGCACCTGGCTAAAGTTCAACGGAGACAACACACCAGGCTAAAGTGCAGGAGGCTCTCGCGCTGGCCATGGAGGCTGGAGTTTTTTCTGGAGTTGAATTAGGTTTGTCTGACCATGTTTTTAAGAAACTCCTCCGAATTTGAGGGCTGATCATCATGTTCCCTCTTCAGTTGGCAATTTGGGGAGTGTAGCAATATGTGGACTCAAGCAACAAAAATGAAGTATAGCCGCTATAGCCTTCTTGTCTTTATCAACCAACTAATAATTCTGATCACAAGTCAGTTCTTGATCGAAATAGTGAGGGATCACTGGTCTACTTAACTACGGATCCAATTGAAAATGTATTTTTCTCTGAAAAGTGAGTGCCTATTAAGATTTGATGGTGAATCATCATGTTCCCTATTAAACAAACTGGCTATAAATTGAGGCATCCCCCCTTTTCAAAGCAGACGGCAGACCCATGTGTTTAACAGTGACCTGGGACATTCGATGTGGAACCTGGATATAGTTCGATTTGCTTCGGGGAGTAGTGTGATAGCAAAATTCATAGGAGCGGACTGAAATGAACTTTTCTGATGCCAGGGACAGCAACTCTTCAAAACGATCTTTCAACGCAAACAAAATACGAAACAGCTTGAATTCTGCGACTCCGGGATTCACAACAATGAAAGATATGAAAGCTTCCTATGATGTTCATGATTTTCCCGTCAATTCCAATGAATTCCATTCTGAATTCGGGACGGCTTGGCGGCTTAGCCATGCTTAGCCACTTTGGATCGGGCCAGGACCATGATATCGAAACCATTCGGCGAGTTGGGAAGCCCAGTTTTGAGGCAATGGTTAGAGGGAAAATAAGCAGTGAAAAGGCAATGCTAGGAGGAAACGTGATGATAAACTATGGATGGAATATTGGAATGGGGTAGCCTATGATGAGTATATTTTGAAACAACGCCTTAGGTTGTGAATAATTTAACTGTTTTTGTTTTCCTCAAGATACCCCATTTGTCGTTGGCCTATTTTTGCCCCACCGGTCGCAAAATCATTTTACAAAGCTTCACAGTGGTATTTTTTAGACTGGGACACCTACGAAATCCAACGTGCACAACTCATTTTTTAATGACATATATACAGATAGTTTTGTCATCCAATCTTTGGAGTGTCCCCATCTCTATGCCCAATTCTTGGTGGGATGATTTCCCATCTTCGGGAGTAAGAACGATGGTTTCCGCTTGGGATTGTTCCATAGTTATCAACCATTATCCCATTATTGAATCAATCTATTGAATCAATCTATTGGATCAACTATTATCTACAAATGGCTATGGGTCAATCCACGCGCTGCTACCCTCTTGCAAAATCGCTGAGATTCATGGATATTAATCGAATCAAACTATGGTAAAACGTAGGCTGACTCATCCCGAAACCTCCCGCTGCAAGACCTCAGGTCTTACCTGCAGCGGAAAGCTTGGGTATCGATCCAAAGGTGGAATATTTTCTTCACTGGATCTGAGTTGGACCTGATATATGGGTCTAGTATGGTAGGTCATGCTGGAGTAGATAAAACATGGATTTTTCAAACAATCTTTACTAAAATGGGCATTTGAAAAATACATGTTCTGTCTACTTCAGGATGAATACTGTATGAATTGATGGTATTTAATGTCTTCCCTCAAAGTGGATGGCTTGATACTCGACATGCCCCATTTTGTGGTCCCGTGCCATAGCCCTAGCCTGATATTTACTACACGTGCACAGATGGTATAGGTTTGTGGCATGAAAGTAGAACCTGGTTAATTGTAGATCTATCTTTGCAGTCTCTGGAACACCCAGCAAATTGCCAAACGTGGGATGAGCATTATCCAATTAAGGAGTTGACATTTGCTCGCTTCTGGGTTTCCTTTATCCCTGATAGTTTTGTACCAAAAGATGATTAGATTGGATGTGGTGAATTGGTTGGACTTTTCGCAATTTCAGTTTGGGGGCCTTTTGCTTGTACAACATAGCCAATATGATCCTAATGTCCAGCAAAGCAAAAGTATCTTCATGGATCATCAAAACTATATCTCTGGGAAAATCATCGGCAGATCAGAGATTCCACAGCGGTGTCGTGTCACGGGTTGTCCCATTATGTCCCATTGTCACTATACTTTGCCACACATGCATTGAGTTCCAGAATTAATTTCAGGATATTTACAGGAAAAAAACGATTTTCAGAAAAATACATGGTTTTCTGTAAGGAGTCTCTCAAAGTTTACCAACCCCAGCTTTTGGCCGTAGGAGATCCACTTTGCGCGTCAGATAGTAGACTCTGTGGTGCCTTGCCACGATGAATTACCGTGAATTCTCTGGAGGTGAACGGGCGACCCCTTGGAATTGTATGCAACAAATATAGGAACAAACTTTGATGATCTTTGATGTTTTTTTACAAGCACAAATTTGAGAATCTTGAGTATACGACTAAACCACCCCGAAGAAGGGACCAGCACAAGGGTATTGTTTTTTCAAATCTTCATGGCTGGAAGTAGATATTTGAACGACATCCCGACATGTGCGAAGCTGCAGGAATCATGATGGCATCATCGCCAGGAACAACACACCCAAATGCTTTGAATATGTTGAACTGTTGGACCTGTGACTTTGTGGCCCCAAACATATTTCCACATCAAATCAGCTGGGTGCTTCACCCTGCTTGGACGCTACTTGGATATGCATCCCAGTTCAGATGTGCTTTTGTAAAAGTCGTAGCGGGTAACCCCACTTCCTACGATGGGATAAACGCGGTACTAATGTGCAATTATACGATATTATGCGTATACATGCTTTATCAACCGCTTTCCAACTGGGATGCACATCCATCCAAGTAAGTAGGTCGGATAGATCGGATAGACCACTCTATCTTTGAGGCTTTCCCCACACCTCATTCCATGCTTGGACTGGGTTTCCCAGAACAGCCCCTACCATTTGACTGGCTGTGACCGACCGACTGGAAGCGAAATCCAACACGACCATTGGGCTCTCTCTCATTGATCCCAACAGCACCGGCGGTCATCGAGGCTTCATACGATCTGCAAGGAGAGGTGAAGGGCCTTTGTCCCAAGCTGAGAGATGGGTCGATTCTGGAAGTTGAGTGGCAACTCTTCCAAGTGAAGCAGAGCACAAACCGACATACTGTAACGCTCTATAATGCTCTATACTTTTGATATTTATGGATATGTATGGAACCCGAACTCTCATCATCGCTGGGAGGATGCACTGGGAGCAAATATATGGAGTATGAGTATGTAATATATATATATATACATATGTATATTATATATATATACATACATACACGTAAATATGTGTATATATATATATTTATTTATATATTTACATATGGATACTCCAGTTGGCAATCATGTCTTTACCGTCGAGCGGGTATGTGTCTAAATATGTTATGTTTCTTGATACAGAACAGATGGGATGGAGCCAGAAACACTGACACTAAGTCAAAACAGGCAATCCACGGCTCCTGGCCCAACAAGTTTAGCTTTCACCGATTGTCATCTATTTGCCATTCAGACGATTCACCATTCTCTATTCTTGGTGAGCTATCCCCCAGTTTTTCTGACGGCCAACGGAGGATGAACTGACTTTGAAGACCCGACAACATGGAAACACCAACTGCTGCGATGTTTCCTGGGCGGAGGTTCCAGCCTTTTGAAGTTGCGAAGAACCCTCGAAAACATCGAGGTGCGAGCCCGGTTGAGCCCCATTTTGTGGCCTTGATCTCTTTTGGAAGCTGAAAATAATGTGAACCCTGGATTTGAAATTAAACCATCGTTGGTTACTAGGGGGATACCAGAAGTCATTGGTCCCCGGTTGACACCAATGTTGGTTGGTAACTTACTTACCATCGAAGTCGAGATCTGATCTATGCCATCTATGCCGAAAAGTCGGACACCTGGAAATCACTGGGAAAGACATCATCAAAACATTATCCTGGAAACACGTGTCCATCTTTTTAAACACATAGTTGGTTAGTTATCAGATAGTATATCCCATTAAAATATATATTAAAATTCCATGGTAACCCTCATGAAATTCTGAAATCCCAATGAAACCCCATGAAATCTCATTCAATGCTAAACTATAAATCAAAGATGATCAAAGCTATACTTCGCATGGAGGGTCCCGCCAAGGCCAGGTCATTTGAGCTAAGAAATGTTGCACCAAGTCACATCATGGCTTTACAGACATGATGCATGGATTTGTTAAATGTATATGTTGCTATGTCACTTTTTTTTTGCAAAAATAACAAAAACCGAAAATAATCTCAACTCAGTGACTGTAATTATGTCCCAGACATCATTTGGAATGTTTTATTTGTTAATGTTCCCAATAGGAAATCGACTACTTGGAAAATCATGTTGTGAATACTTTGGGTGGGAGTCCTTGGCAAATCCCAGGATATCTTTGTTTGATGAGTTTGCTTCATTTTCATAGGCATCATCGAGCGGCAGACCAGGGGCGACACAGGTGGGAACGCAGGGGCCACGCATGGGACGAAAGCAGTGCCTGCTACCCCTGTTGGTTGATGATTTTGGGGCTTCATGGTGATTTAGCTAAATTATTTCTATGGGGTTTAAGATATTTTAAGATGTTGTATCAGTTGTATCTATCAAAAATATGGGAATGTGATTGATAATATTGTTGGTCGATGATTGACGAATTGCTCTTGATGAGTTGCCCGCGTCACCACGGCAGGGGACGTCTTACCAAGAGCTGGAAAGGCGTTTGTTGTCGTTACCTTGGTCGGGATTTTTTTCTGATTCATGGAAAGTCACCATTTTTTATAGGCAAATCATCATGAATCATCCATAAATGGGCCATTGTCCATGGCTATGTTAGTCATAACCAGAGGGTAAATGTTAAAGATAGGTAAACATCGGAATATACCTGTTAAACATTGGCAAAACTTGGATTTTAACAATCATTCACATGGAGAAATATGAGAACTTAACCAGCAACCCTTGGGAACCCGGGGATCTTACCATCATAGGGAAGAAATTGGGACAGAGCACGATCAGAGATTGGGATGCCGACAGCTGAAGCGGAAATTATCCATTGTTGACCCAACATCATTGAAGATCGGCATGAAAATAGTCGAAAAAAAGGTCTCGCAACAGCCATGATAACTAGCAGCAATAAGGCAAGCATGTCCATTGGCTACGGTATCACTGGCAGTGATTCACATGGGATGCTTAGAAATGAGTGTTTTGCGACTGTTTTGTGTCTCAGCATTTATCTGACATCCGTACAAAGAGACTGGACAACATTTGACATCATTTGACATTTGACATATTTGGAGAACATACACAATTATAAACATCCGTGTTTAACCATGTTTAACATCCATGTTTAACATCCATATTTCCATGGTAAATCCTAGGCTATGCGGCTATCCACCAGGGTCCCAGGGATCACGAACGCTTCGAACGGTCTAAGGTCCGAGAGTCTTCCCAAGGTCCTGGAGCATTTCATGCAAGGTGCTGGTGCAACACCAAGTGGGAAAATGGCGCTGGGAAAATGGTGCTGGGAAACTTGCAGACAATTGAAACATTCCTTGAAATGATGGAAAATAATGGACAATATATGAAAATATGCAAGTTAATGATGGAAAATTCTGGGAAAATCATGGAAAGAATTGCAAACAAATGCATATTTCGGAGGGGTCCGGCTGCCGCAATTTCCATGCAGCACAGTGGGTGATGCTGGATTCGCGGACTACAGGGGATGAGAAGTGTTCAGCATCGTTTTGGATCATTTCTGGTCGGAGGTGCCCAGAGTCCTTGCAAAGCCGGCAAAGCTGGCGTCGGGGAACACGATGAGAACATGGGTTCCGAACCTGGGAAGTGGCGCAGACGGGAATTCATTGGAAAAATATGGAAAAGCTGGAGTTTTAGAGGGATTGTTCGTTGATTTTTAAGGTGTTTTCATTGTTATTTTTTTTATGTGGTTTAGGTTTTTCTTGGATTTTTTGGGTGAAGTAGTAAGATTGATACCAGCTGATCATCAATAAATTGGGATTTACCGTAAACACTCAAGATTTCAGCAAGAATTACTGGGTAAGGCCTCGTGAATTGAGAGGGTGGTTTGGCTATTGGCTGAGGGTCTCCATGGTGCTGGTTATCCAAGGTTAGAAATGGAATCTATTACTTCCCCAAATCAAAAAAAATGTTTGTAATAGACATGGAATGGCCGTTTTCTTCCTGTTTGAGGACCTTCATGGAGTGGAGGTGGAATGCGACAGGTATGTCCTTGGCTATTCTTGAACATACATCAGGTGTCTTCTTCTCAATGGATGTTCCACATTTTGGTCGCTCAAATCCCCTTTATTTCCTGGGTTGAATCTTCACTTATTGGGTCAATCTACCCTCCAGTAGACTAACATAGATATGGAACATCCACCATTTGTAGATTTTTGTAGATCATTTTCCTACAAGGTGAGACCCCCCAGTTATATAAGTGGCTTTATAAATAAACCCCATTAAGTATAGTCAGTTCTATTCCCCAGAAAGCCTCGAAATCAACAATTTATGCGCGCAAACTTAGCAATCGTAAAGGGGGGCATCACCGAATTTAGGGAATCCCATGGATTTCAACGGGGTCCCCTTCGTGGCGAAGAGCGCCATAGGCAGCTGGTTCCCAGACAGATGTTCCCCAGGTTCCGCAAGGGATATTGTCAGAGTGACGTGGTGGGTGACCTGGTGGTATCACCAAATTGCGACCAGCGATGTTGGGGTTCAACTTGTTCAACGAACAAACATGGGGATTTCAGATGATTTGGCCAACAACAGATCGTAGTCTCAGCATGTTTCAGCAACAAACATAGGGATTACATAAACCAACAAGAATAGGGATTTAACCAGCAAGAATTGGATATAGACTTCCTGCCTAATTCACAAAAAACGTGAATTGTATGGAAACACCCACGGTTGGGCGTCAAGCCTGGCGACCCCGAAAAAGGACGATGTTTTTTGAGTCACTTTCTTCGGTCGAAAGGCAGCTGTCCCATATTTTTGTGAAATGAATGACTGTTCCCAGTGAACCATAGATTTTTATACATATTCACATATGATTTTGGGTACTCAATTGACTCAATGACTTCACCATGACCTAACCCATTTATTTCACGAAAAGAGCCATGCGACTCTTTCGAATCTGTCGCGATTTTCAGCGGTCTCGAAACTGGAGCAGATCAGCAGAGCTCTGATTCATCAAGGTTTGAAATCCGGGTAAATCATGGGTAAATCATGGACCTAAGTGGACATAAGTGGACATAAGTGGACATAAGTGGACATGTTTCATTGATTTTGATTGTTTGTTATCCATTGTTATCCCGGTTATCCCAAACTTTCACCAGCCGTGATAACCAACTATAGGACTCCCCTGGAAGAAGCTTTGATGGCACTTGACCTCGGTGTCTCGCAGTAAAACGGGCCGTGCCTTTTTGCAGTCTCACCGGCAATGGAGTGCCAGAAAAAATTGCTGGCTGATCTTGCCATCATCCAAGATCCTGAAACGACTCCAGGATCCCACCATACCGAAGTGCTATCATTGTGACTGGAACTTGAACTGGAACTGGTTGGTGGTTTGGAACATTGGGAATGTCATCATTATGGTGATTATATGGTGATTATCCATATGGATTATCGAAGGAAGTTTAGAAGTCAAACTTACGACAATATGGACAGATGAAAAGCAGAGTAGGGCAGAGGCAGAGAGAAGAGAAAGATTAGAAGAGAGAAGAGTAGAAGAGAAAGAGTCAGAAGAAAGAAGATGCAGATGCGCGAAAAGGTAGGAAAGTCGCGAAACACTGTGTTTTTCCAATGATTTGGGGCTCCGGAGGGTCGAAAAGTAGGCTCGCTAAAGCGGCGGGTGCGGAGCCAGCTGGCCAGATGAGAGATGAAAAATTGCACGCCGTTGTGGCGCGAAGCACATTTGCAAGTCAAAATGTACAAAACACCTGGGTCTCGGAGCACTTTTGGAAGTTGAGATGTCGAAAAAGTGCACGCCGTTGTGGCGCGAAGCACATTTCGAAGTCAAAATGTACAAAACACACCAGGTGCGGACCACTTTTGGCAGTTGAGATGTCGAAAAAGTGCACGCTGTTGTGGCGCGAAGCACATTTCGAAGTGAAAATGCACAAAACACGTCAGTGTCGGACCACTTTTGGAAGTTGAGATGTCGAAAAAGTGCACGCTGTTGTGGTGCGAAGCACATTTCGAATTCAAAAGTGCAAAAAACTGAGGGGTACGGAGCACTTTTGGACGTTCAGATGTCGCTTCGCGTGGCAGGCGCAAGGGATTGTGCACCTTGTCAAAAGTGAGCAAAACGTGAGGGTTTTGTAGCATTTTCAACTACAACCACCACTACACCACACTACACTCAATTACAATCAATTACATTCAATTACACTACACTACATTACACTACACCACACTCCACGACACTACACTACATTACACTACACTACACTACCTTCCACTACACTACATTACGCTACACTACATTGCACTACACTACATTACACTACACTACATTACACTACACTACACTCCACTACACTACACTACACTACCTTCCACTACACTTCACTACATTACACTACACTACAATACCTTCCAGTACACTTCACTATATTACACTACACTACATTCAACTACACTACAACTACAACTACAGCTACAACTACAACTACAACTACACACCACTACACTCCACTACACTAAATTACACTACATTACACTACACTACATTCCACTACACTCCACTACACTACACTCCACTACACTGCACTACACTACATTACACTACACTCCACTACACTGCACTACACTACAATACACTACACTCCACGACAGAGCAATGTAACGGACATACAAAGGACATAACGCCCAAGACGAGCACTACATTACGCTACACTACACTACACTACCTTCCACTACACTTCACTACATTACACTACACTACACTCAACTACACTACAACTACAACTACAACTCCACTACACTCCACTACACTAAATTACACTACGCTACACTACATTACACTACACTACGCTACATTCCACTACACTCCACTGCACTACACTACATTACACTGAATGACACTGCACCACAGATAAACAGGTAGACAGATAGATAGATAGATAGGTAGATAGACAGATAGACACGTAGACAGCTAGACATTTCAGTACATCAGTGGCTTCGCTCTGCCATCCCTGATTCACAACAACCAACCTCTCCTATAGGTCTCCGATTTTTGAAACTTCCGCCACCGCCTTGTGCGGTACTACTGGTAATCCATATATACTCTATAATTTTGATTATATGATTACTGCTTGGTGGTTTGGAACATTTGGATTATTTTTCCATATATTGGGAGTGTAGTGTCATCATCCCAACTGACGAACTCCATCATTTGTCAGAGGGGTAGGTATACCACCAGAGAACGTGAATCAGATTTTTTTGAATTCTGTTTTCCTTTACCTAGTTTGTATTTTGTCAGAATTAGGTCCAGATTCAACGGTGGTCAGCCGAAAAAAAAACTCAGGTACATCCTAGCTGGCACTATGCTACTCAGTAGCATCATCATGTTGACCAAGTCCTTGGGACGCCGTATGCTGTCAGACATCTTCTTTTTGGTCTTCTTCTTTGTCGGAGCCTTGGGTTTTGGCCTTTTGGGCTTCGCCAGTCAGGTGTACGTTGCTGGAGAGAACTGGGCTGCCACTTGGCGCCTAAACACTTTGCTGGGGCCTGCCAAGAGGAAGATTTTCCGTTACCCGAGGGGGTAATGACTGACAGTTTGCTATTGAAAATGGCCATAGAAATCATAGAAATCGTGGATTTACCCATTGAAAATGGTGATTTTCCATAGTTATGTAAACGTTTACCACATGGTATGTTTTGATACTTTCGGTTTCTTTAAGCAGCACTAAAAGTTTCGGGGATGTCGACTCATCCCAACGGGAACGACCTGAGGTGATCCTTGCGAAGATTCTGATTACCTTGTCTCTGGCTTCGCTGCTGCTGAATAATTGCTGCGTACTCGAAGATCTAGCACCATTTAGGTTTAGAACTGTGACCTGGCACGACCTGGCTGGCTTTTGGTTGGTATTTTTTGTCGGTGAAGCTTCGAGATTTTCATCTCCAAAATGAGTGACATATAAATTGGGGGGTTGTGTTATTTGTCTTGGGGTGCCCGATTTGGGTTACATCGAAATGTGATGGGTGAAGGAGTCCAGCTTGAACTGTGGAAGTTTGGATTGGAGGATTGACACTGAGGTTATACTACCGTATGACCGTATGACCCTCAAAGCGCCCATGAAGACTTGTGAAAAGACACCAAAATGGTCGGGGTAACTGCCATTTTTGGGAGGACCTGAGGGTGTAATAGGGTTTTTTGGATGGTGTAGGTCGTATTTTTTTCAGCAATTCATCCAGTTGCCAGTTGCCAGTTGGGGGACAACAATGGACAACATCCCAGATTGTGAGGTGATTTGGGTGTCCTTCTTTTTTCAAAGCTCTGTGTCCCTTCTGGGCGTTGCCGCACAGTTGGGAAAGCACCTGCAGAGCACCATGTTATTCATGAAACTTGGCTTGGATGGCCATCAAACATAACGTGTACCTTAGGAACTTTACTGGTTGGTGGTTTCAAACATGTTTTGTTTTCCATAATATATGGGATAATCCTTCCCATTGACTAATATTTTTCAAGATGGTTAAAACCACCAACCAGTTCAGCTTGACCCACAACTGGGAATATCTTATGTCTTTGGGGAATACCAAAAATGAAGAGAAACATAGAGAAACTAAAGATTTAGATCGTAGCCGAGGGGTTGAACATGGACCCAAGCATTAATACAACTAATCATCTTTGGCACTAACTGGTTGCTTCCCTATGGTAGTACTATTTATTTCTGGTTGTTTGGGGGGTAGTACAACTCAATCTGCCGCAGTAAATGTGAATATTTGCTAAGCAGCTAAAATGTTCTTTGGACTTGCCCGCATTTAAGCTGAAGATGATGCTTTTATCATATTTTAGGTATTTTCCCATTTTGATTGATCCACCACCAGGGAATTTATATACTTGGAATCAGTGCGTGGGAACCGGTTTAACAGAATGACTGTCGGAACAGAGGTTGTACCACCGACATTTTTTTCTGGAGAGTGGGGGGCCATGGTAGATTGTTGGAAGAAAGCATCAGAAAGCACTATAAATACATATGTTTTATGCACTTGAGGGCACTGAAACCTAGGCGAAACACACATGTTGGGTCATTTTGAGCATTGGTCTTTTCAGGACGTTCATAAAACACTGATCGGCACAAAGAAAAACTAGATGCACAAAACCTGCACAGGCACCAAAAAGCAAACTAAGTTATCATGTTTTGCGCATCTAGTGTTTTTTTTTGCTGTTTTAGGTTGCCTGCGCAGGTTTGGTGGCTCTGACCAAACAAAACACTGACCAGCAGCAACGAAAACAAGCAACCAACAAAGCTCACATTTCAATTGATAAATCCTTTTTGCTGAATAGTAGCGGCAACTGCCTCTTGAGTGCAGGCTAGATCACGTAGGTTTCGACCCTTCGACCCTGAAGCCAACAGTTTCATGTGTACTGAGATGATACCAGTGAAGCACGTTCATGAGAAAAACCATCTATCATATCACTTCTTTCTAGCAATAGAATTCCTCCATCGGCTCTATCACACTAGCATACACTAGCCATCTATTGATATTGTATATATACACTCTATTCCAAGATGCAACATCCACTGTTGTTATGGCATGTCCTGCAGCAGGTGTTTATATATGATGTGCTTTTGCGAGCCTCACAGGAAAGTTGATTTTTATTGCAAACGTTTGTGGATACGAAGAGTTTATGATAGAATATGACAGCAGTTGATGAGGTGTGTATATATATATATATGTACACAGTATATGAATATGAATATATTGCTCTAAACTCAGTTTCATACCCCTTTTCATCATAATTGTATATAATTATCTGAATGTTTAAAGGGTTTTGGAGCAGAAATCACTCCAGCAGGAACCCCGTTCTGAATTTAAAAGGGGGTCCTGTAAATGTTCACAACAACCACCGACTTGAGTTTTTGCACTGTTTGTTTTCTGGTGCTTATATTGTTAATATTGTTGGGTGCTTCAGACATTTGCCCAAAATGTACGGAAAAAAATATATAGGTGATCTATTGTTAATTAGATATACTTGGTGCTCAATGTTGGGAAACAAAAACGACATGTCCAATTGGATCTGCCCTAAGTAGACAACGGTCCCTGGTTTACCTCCAAGGACCATGATGTCGGTCTCCTGCACCTTCACCTGGTCGGTGGCCCACTACCTCAAGAAATCCAATGCTCAGGACGCCCACGGAACTCTTGTTCCCATCCCCCCTTTGAAGAAGAAAACAGCGCTGTTCTATGGTCCATGTATGTGATTTATCTTTAACTAGTAATGACTACTAGTGTGTAGCCATCCTTTCACCAAGGACTGTGAACCCCAAGAATGGTAACCCAGGTTAAACAGACGGATCAGGTCACCCCCTTAGCTCGATGTAGATGGGTTGAAAACCAGTTGAAACTACATGAAACTACCAAAGACTGGGGGGGGAATTTTTTACTTGATTGGGCTCAGACATTTCCACGTCAGCATTAGCTTATTGGGCCCATTGATTAATTGACTGGTCATAACTGGTGGATTTTCATGCCAGCCCCCTGAAGGAGCATTGCTTGAAGGCATTCTGTTCATTCCTGGCAGCTGCCGGTTCTCTGACCGTGGCGATTTTGGAACCCACCTGTGGCTATGCTGGACACAAGAAGTGCTATACGGACTGCTTTGGCGTGCCCGGGGTACACTTCTTGATCTGGGTGGTTCCATCCATAGGCCCCGGGGCCATTGTGGCGTGTCACGTTTTGCGTTTGACTTCTGAAGAAAGGGGACTGGTCATGTCAAGTAAGCACATATTTGAATTGTCCAAATAGACATGCTTTAAACATGTTCTGTCCAACCCGGACGTACCCTTACAATCATCATCATCTCATCATCATCATCATCACCATCATCATCGTCGTCGTCGTCATCATCATCATCATCATGATCTCATCATCGTCGTCGTCGTCGTCATCATCATCATCATCATCTTCATCATCATCATCATCATAACCATCACCATCACCATCATCACCATCATCATCATCATCACCATCATCATCACCATAATCATCACCATCATCACGATGATGATGATCATCACCATCATCATCATCATCCTCATCACCATCATCATCATCACCATCATCACCATCATCATCATCTTCATCATCATCATCATCATCGTCATCACCGTCATCATCACCAGCGTCAACCCATGTGGAATGGGGGTAATCACATTATCTTGTCTTTATATGGGACCAAAAGTCCACCACCTGCTCCGACAAATATGTTACATGGTGTAATCACATCAACTTATCTTCATAAAGGATGATGATGACGATGATGGATGGTGATGATGACGATGATGGATGATGACGATGATGGATGGTGATGATGATGATGTGATGATGATGATGATGATGGTGATGGTGATGGTGATGGTGATGATCATCATCATCGTGATGATGGTGATGATTATGGTGATGATGGATGGTGATGATGACGATGATGGATGGTGATGATGATGATGATGATGACGATGATGGTGATGATCATCATCATCATCATGATGATGATGATGATGGTGGTGATGATGATCATGGATCACATATACATATTGAAAGTCCACCGACATGGCATTTCAAAAATATGCAACTCTTCCGCAATTCCGGCGCGGAGCAACGTCAGGGTTGCACCGAACATGTTATAACGGCGAAGAATTTGAAACTCTAGAGAACATCCGAGTTGGAAGGATTATGTTTTAATGGCGAAGACTTTGAAAATCTCGAGATTGCCGTCATGAATACATCAAGCTTCCAGGGTCAATCGGCATGTAGTGTGCGGAAGTCATCAGGGATGTTTCTGAAGCACCCATCATCCTTGTTGAAATCATGTTTTTGGGTTGCCTGTGTAAGAAGCAGAGTTTTCGGCAGAAATTCCCGCCAACCCAATGACAAATTATACAAGCGGGATCTTTCACGCGCGTCTCAGCCTGTCGCAGGCAGCGTGTTGTTTCTCAATTTCCTGCAGATGTGTTGTCACTCGGATGAGCTTGAGTAGTTTTCCTTCGGGAAGCTGGTTGTGCGCAAAAATCCAAAAAATTGGGGATCATTGACTAATGACCCTGCAAAATCCTTTTCCTGAGATCCCCATGGTTGAGTTTCTTGTTTCCCATGGATCAGCAGAAAGCTGTTTCCCTACACCTTTTCATCAGGGGTCAATAGTCTAAGCAGCTGTTGGCTGTCACGTTTTCATCCCATGGAACTCGGGAGCATTTGCGTAGTTTTCCGATCTGCTATTGATGGTTTTCTACATGCTTCTACTTTTCTTATCTTTTCTTCACCAACCTTCACCATTTCCGAAGATTTCTTGAGTCATGGCCACTCCACACCAGCCAAGTGCTGGCCCCAAATTTCAGGTCCTGACCAGGCCATGTTGCCCCCCATCCTGTGCTGGAAGCCCAAGCCGCCCCCTGAGCCAGAAGCGCCGCCGGCGCCGTTGCCACCGGTGCCGGAGCCGGATGTGAAAGATGGGTCCGTGTGAACGGCGTCACCATGATGTCTGAAAATGATGCTAAGATTCAGTGATATTTAATTGGGATACTGGAACTTGATATCTAAGTATCCCAGAATGACCGAACTTTTCAGGTCAGTGAATTATTAGTATCCTTTTGGACTATAATGATGAAATATGATGGACTATATAGTACTATGATTTATTCAGATGACACTTTGACCCTGCCATAGTGACGTAGCAAACGCCGCGCGCAAACAGCCGCTGGTCAGCCTGGTCATCAATGGGAGCTCCAGAAAGACGGGAAATTTGATAAATTATATATACATACATACATACATACATACATAAATACATACATACATACACAAATACACACA